TCATGGGCCAATAAGAAGGTCCCAGAATAGGATGAGAATATGATAAGAAAGGTTTTCAAAGAGAGAAACACAATCCTGGTGAGTGCCATCTGGAATTGGAGAACAACATGAAATTGTAGAAAGAGGTGTCAGAAGGCCTGAATTTGAGACCTAGTTTAGCCACCTATTAGTTATGACCTTAACCTCTCTGACCTCGTCTCAATAGTACAGTTACAATAATAATAATAATAATAATAATACTTGCCCTGCGTACCTCACAGGGCTCTTTAGCAATCACAAGAAACGCCAGATAGGACTATGGTGAAGGGCAGCAGTGCAGATCTCAGCTCTGCCACTTACTGGCTGTGCAACTTGGGTGAGTTTTAGACCCCTCTAACCTCTGATTTCCTCATCTGTATTATAGGAAGGCTAACACCTGCCTCAGGTGGGAGCTGTAAGGACTAAACGCAATAGTCAAAGTAAATCATAGCATGGTGCCTTTTGCATAGACAGTGCTCAATAATCAGTGATTTTTATCATTAACATGATTATGTTTGCAAACTTACAAATTGTTCAATGCATAAAAATGAAAGATTATTGTAATATTTAACATGATATCATGTCACTGGGTAACAGGATAAATGTTAAAAGAAAAATATAAGCACGAAAAATAGAATGGAGATGGTAAAGCACACAGTCTATCTTTATAATGAAGAGACTTTGTAGGTAAGGATGTATGAGGACTCAAGTTCTCACGAAATTAACTCCTGTTGGCTTGGCTAAGAGATGGTCATATAGATCTTTTTTAAGGATGAAAAACACTAGCAGTGATCAATGGCCTCGTGTCAGGTTGGGATAAGGTATCTAATGGGTGACTGTGAGGATCAGCGATAATTCAGGTCTCATCTAACATCTCCAGAGCCACTGAGAGCAAGAGTAATTGGTACATTAATGAAATCTGTAAAGACACTCAGCAAGCCTCCAGGGAGCCTCTTTAGAGCTGGAGAAACTCAACCCAGGAAGACAGGAAATAATGCAAAAGAGCCTCAAAAGTCCATTCACTTATTCAGAAAAATATTTTGTCCCCACTCTGTGCCAAACATCTCGTTAAGCACTGAGGATTTAGGCACAAAAGACATGATCCGTTTTGCACCAAGCTCACAGTCCAGTGAGAGACAGAGCGAGTAAATCACTGCAATTTGGTGAAGTGGCTGTAGGGATGGTTTGGGTACAAGAGAGCACAGAGGTGGGGCTCCTAACCCAGGGGTCAGAGAAGGTTCCCCAGAGGGAGCCACACCTGAGCAGGCTCTGCAAGGACACAAGGCAGTTAGCCCGGCAGAAGAGAAGGACTGGCTGTGCTCTAAGTGGAGGAAGCATCATATGCAGCGACCCAGAGTTTGAACTGCAAGTTATTTAATTTGATCACACTGGGGCAAGGGTGCTGGTCCCCTCAAGTACGAGGGTTCCTTTGTAATGTCAACAAATATCACGGCCCTCTCACATTATAGTAATTGTCCTTTTAAAATCTCCTGCTTGAAAAAAAGTACATGATGCCCCCGTCCTCCCAAAAAAATCTATTAGGAATTTTATAAGTTCTAAATCAATTTATGTCTTATTAATCCCTATTGTGTCTACTGGCATTTACATTTGAAAAATATTTACTATACTTTTAAATGACCCTGTGTATTTTGTTCCCAACAGTATCTACTTAAATTTTCATTTGAGAAATATTTGCCTCATCTATGTGCAAGACTTACTAGTTTTTCATTGTAAAACAAGCTTTGTTCATGCATATATTGATGAAATCCTTACAATAACTGCTGATTCATGCCACCGCCACCACCCCCCACCCCCCAGGGCTGTGATCCGCAGTTGGTTAGCACTGGAGTAAGGGGTACTGGCAGGATCTGAGACTGGAGAGGTTGTTGGAGCTGGGCTTCATTGTCTGTGTGAAAGTGGAGGGGCTGAAGAGTGTTGGGGAGTTTGAAGCAGTGACAGCAACAGACGCTCAGTCAGCAATGTGGGTGGCAGGGTCGGGGAGGGTGGTCTGAAAGAAAACAATTGCAGTGAATGGAGAGAAAGGAGCAGATTTCAAAAATATTAAAAGGTAGAATTGAATGGACTGCGTGACCCCAGACATGGGAACTGGGGGAGAGGTCTCAGGTGACTCCCAGCTTTCTGGCTTAGGTAATCGGATAGATGGTGGATAAAAAGGCAAAGAACAGGACGGGGTTTGAGTAGAAGATTTTGACTTTGGACATTGTGACTTTGAAGTTCCTGCAGGACGGCCAAGTGGAGATACACAAGGTAGAAGGATCCAGACAGAGAGACAGGTTTTGGAAGCATGGACAGGTGGATAGTAATCAAAGTCCTGGGAGGGGGTAACAGCACCCAGGAGGAGCCTGCAGTGTGGGAGAGAAGAGGCCCAAGGACAAAGCACCGGGACCCCAGCATCTGAGAGGCAGGATGAAGGGAAAGTCCCCCTAAAATGGAAACAACATGCAGAAATGAAGGAGGAAAACCAAAAGGGAGACAGAGAAAGACGGAGACAGAGAGCTACCGTGGGAGCCAAAGGACCAGAGGGCTTCAAGAAAGGAGCCATGAAAGTCAGTGACACAGAGCAGTCAAGTACAAATACCAAAACTTTATCTACCCATAACGACAGTGGAAAGAATCACAACAAAACACCATCTCCCACTTGTATGGCTCATTGTGCTTTCAAAGCACTTTCACACCATTTATTTCATTCCATTCACACTATGGCCTATCTAGCATTCTTACAGATGCAAAAACTGTAGGCAGTGAGGTTAAGAGATTGGCCAGAGCCATCTAGCAAGTTGGTGGCTGGGCTCCTGAAATTAGAGATCAGTCCAGAGTTTGGACCATGCTTCTGGTTTCTCCCACACCTGAGTTAGCTTTTTAAACAACCAATAATGAAATCAGAATGGGGCCTGTTCCAGAATAACTACTCATTATTAGTATGGAAATTAAAAGCCTTGCCTTTCACACTTTGTTTTGCACTTCCCAGACCCCAAGATGTCAGGGTCATCTGAATAAAAAGGCATTACCTAATTCCTCTGGGGTAGAGAGGGCTTTAGGGGTGTGTAGGGGGTGGGGCTCATACCTAATTCTGTATGTAAGAGGGACCATTGAAGGTTTTCAAGTAGAGAAGTGATATAAATTTGAGCATGCTTTGGAAAGATTAATTAGTGTTATTGAACTTGTATTTGACAGTTCATACGTCTGGTTTTTGGATAGTCACACCACCTGAAACAAAATAATGAAAATACATTATGAAGACCTGTCTGGGCTTTTTTTTTTTTTTTTTGGAACTGAGCCGCCTCTCCCCACCCTGCCTCCCGCTCCAATGAGTAGGCTGCCTTCACCAGAGGAGGTTGCTTGAATTTGGAGGAAAAGCTCCTGCGATATTTGATGAGGTCATCACTGATCTTCAGATCTCCATTCTCCCACCCTACACCTTCCAGAAGCAGGCCTGGCTGTCCATACAGGAATCCCCTGCTCGCTCATCCATTCCTCAGTCATCCCAACACAAGGAGGGGGGCTGCCCCTCTGGCTTGTCAGATCTGGACCAGGCCCAAACCTGTCCATGTCGGGCCAGGCCTGAAGCTGCTTGTCTGATTAGCTCTCCACTGGGAACAATTTAGGACATGGTTCTCTGGGAACTGACTGCTCTATTGGGCATGGGTCTGATTATCTCTCTCTAAACCTATCATTCACAGCACAGAAGGAACACTAAATAAAGACCTCTATATCAATTTCTAACATTTTATTCTCTTTACAGCTCAAATAATGTCACTACAATGTTATCACATTGGAGGTTGGGCAAGGCCCAGAAACAGTCATCACTACGCAATGTTGATTTTATGATGGTGACTCACAGTCTTGTTTCCAGCTGGTGGCCTGGTTCTGGCCTTTTCTACTGACCCATAAAGCTGAGCTTCAACATGGGTACATGGCTGTATGATCCTTCACCAGTCTGGAGCAGCTGGGAAGTTGTCTAGATTCTGTACTACAGGCCAAGGATGAGCAATGAGCTGTTTCCCTTTTCCCTTAAGTGTGCTTCGTATGTGGCCACTTCTCAGGCTAGTACACAGGACAAAGAAAATCAAGCAAGATAGGTGAATTGTGGGGCCGGCCCAGTGGCACAGCACTTAAGTTTGCGTGCTCAGCTTCGGCAGCCCGGGGTTTGCCGGTTCTGATCCTGGGCGAGGACCTACCCACTGCTTATCAAGCCATACTGTGGCAGGCATCCCACGTATAAAATAGAGGAAGATGGGCACAGATGTTAGCTCAGGGCCAATCTTCCTCAAAAAAAAAGATAGATAAATGAATTGCAATCACAGATGCCTACTTATCAGCTACTTCACTGTGTTGCTAAAGTGGGAACATCTGTTAATTATTAGATATGAAAACTCATTCTTAGGTTAGAAAAAGGAGAATCATTAGATATGTCTCTATCCTCCTTCAGAACAGCCCTTGACAAGTAACATTATGTCAGTTCTCTAATCTGTCAGATAAATTAATGAAAGATACGAGTTAAATACGAGATTTTTGAAATGTCTTAAGCCTATGCATCATTCCACAGGTAAAAACTCTTCAGGTAGAAAAATCAATCTAAAGTGCTATTATAATCTTTTAAAAAAATGAGACACTTTTCAGCTTCTGCATCACAGACACTTTCCACTTGTCTAAAGGATAGGTTCGTGGACCTAAACTACCTGAGTTCAAATCCTGGCTCCCAGACCTGCAAGCTGTGTGACCTGGAGTGAGTCATGTAACCACTCCAGGTAGAATGGGAATAATGACGGTTTCTTCTTCAGAATGTGCTGGGATGTTTGAATGTGTTATTAAAGTAAAGCACCTGCTGAGGGCCTGGGCACAACAACTGTCAATGAGTGATAGCTGGGCACGGATCAGGCCATCTGGGGCCTCCCCAGCTTTGTTGCAATGGCTCCCTTGTAATGCTGTAACAAGTTGCATGTTGTTTTTCCTCACTGTAGGTCAGTGCAGCTGAACGGCCAGCCCTTAGTGATGGTGGACGATGGGACCCTCCCAGAATTGAAGCCCCGCCCCCTGCGGGCCGGCCGGACATTGGTCATCCCTCCAGTCACCATGGGCTTTTATGTGGTCAAGAATGTCAACGCTTTGGCCTGCCGCTACCGATAAGCCACCCTCACACTCACAAGGTGCCAGCAGGCCTGCTGGACTGCTTTCCACTCTTCTGCCCTGATCGTATCCTTATTTTTCAGACATCTTCTTAGCAACAAACCAGCCTCTGCTGCCCTATCCTGCTGGAATCAACATAGATTTGCTCTCCGAAGAGACAAATGTCAAATGTTAGCCTAGGTAGGTCACATCCACCCCGAAGGAAAATGTAGACATCTTCTGTACCTGTGTAAGGATGAAGGTATGTGTGTAAAGCTGTGTGTATCCTCGTACACACCATGAAGACAAGCTGACAGTGCACTCCCAGGACAAATGAAATGACTCCCCATGATCCTGGTCACAGCAATATAACTACAGATCTTAGCCTGTGGCTGCCTCAGCGGAAGACGAGCAAGGAGAAAACCCAGTGGAGCTTCAAGAGCCCAGTCCTCTTCTAACTCCACTCCTTTGTCTGTTCCTTGCTGTTGCCCTGGGTTTCCCATCACCTTTCTTCCCATAGGGGAGCAAGTGGGTGAGTCAGCGCTGGCCTGCTGGGCGAGCTGTTTATGTAATTTCCCGGCTGATGTATGAGTGTGTGCATCTGGGTTTCTGACAGTGGCATCAATCACTGGCTATTCCTCTGGGAAGCGGGTGCTTCAAAAGTAAAATTGCAAGCATACTCCAGATTTTGTAAGAAGGTTCTATTCCTCTGTGAATGCAGATATCCCCAGGGTTGGAGTGGGAGTCAGGTAACAATATTCATTGAGTAGAGAGCAATGTATTAGGCACCACAAAAAGCCATCATCATCCTTCATTTGGCTGTGAGGGAGAGAGTTTTAGTAAAAGAAAAAGTACACCAAACCACCAGACACACACACTCACCAACTGAACAAAGCAAATAATTAGACCTGCCTCAAGTTTGAGAGAATATTAAGAGTATGCCCTTACTGGTTTGGTTGACCAAAACCATTATTAAAAAAAAAAAAAGGTGTAAACCAAAGGTCATCACTGTAAAACACAACTGACTCCAGCCTTTCTGCCTCTTCCCAAGCAGCCGTGTGCCTCTCAGTGCATGTACTAGCGGAAATCTAATGCAGGCTTTAAAGATGACCAGGTCCATCCTGTCCCAGACCAGCTTACCTGAGCACAGAACAAAGCTTTGAGTTGGCCACTGGGGGGAAGGAGCAATCCAGAGACTGTGGAAGGGTAGGTGGAAGCTCTCGAGCTGGGCCGGGGGCAAGTGGAGTGATTTAAAGTTCATGATGAGGATCTCCTCTGTGATTCAAGGGGTACGTGTGGGGCTTTGCAAACATGCTGCAACCAAATACGACTTTCTTTTCTGTGGATGTGATTCTTTTTCGCAGGATAAATGACATGAATTTTTTTAAACGAGGAGATATTTGACAGTGTCGTAGGATTCCAATTAAGAGAGAGACAATTTCTGCTGTTGTGAAAGGATAGAAATGGAAGAGAGGGGCAGGGTTGCTGATGCCAGAGGCCAAGGAGACTGCCTAAGATGCCCAAGGAGTCAAGGATTGGGGCCAAGTCTGCAAAGTGGACAGTAAGGTGAGAGACAGGAGGAAGATTACAAAAGAGAGGGGACAGAGGATTCCTGGCTTGGAGAACTGCGAATCAGGGGACAGGAGCCGACAGGCTCATTGTGTGTGTAAGGAAGACAGTGGACTCAGTTTTGACATGCTTATTATTAGGTTCAGGAGGAACAGCACAAGGAGGTGTGTGCTACTCGAGCAAGAAATGGGGAGCCTGAGGAGCGGGCTGGACACGGTCAGTGGTTGGCTCAACCTGGAAGCAGCTGAGAGAGGAGGAGACCTTAACACTGTGGCAACCCAGAGAGGCCTCCTCTTCTCTGGAAGCCGGCGCCTCCCACTGAAAAGTTTCAGCTTTGAGAGGGGAAGAGAGAGAAGTGCCAAGACTGGGGGTAGAAAGGAGGGGAAAGAAGCAGCAGAGGAAAGTGAGGAAGAGAAAGGAAAAGAGAAATGAGAGACAAATTTTAAAAGATTTGTGAGGCTATCAAAATCTCTTCTATACACTGGTCAGGTACAGCCCCAGGGCCCCCTCATGATAACAAGAGGAACCAGAGGTCCCTGGGGCCCGGCCCTGGGCCAGTTTGCTTTACAAACACAGTAGCCCCCTAGGGGTCCACAGCTTGCCCAGGGTCACTGAGGGGAATGGATTGCTGAGCTCGGAATAACACAGAGCCTGGTCATTTAACAAGTCAGCTCAGTGGCTGCCCAGTCGCACACTCACTCCCTTCCCCTCTCCCTAAGTTCTGCCGGTTCAGTACAGCCAGGATTCCAGAGCTCCGTCCAAACACCCTCTCTGTAAATAAGTGTTGATTGCTCACTCAGCCTCTAAACTTGCAGGATATAGGCAGTGCCTGCTTCTTTTGTCTGTCTCTGTGTATTAAATGCTGCTCCTAAGAGGTTTAAGTTTTCTTTTATTGTTTTTCGTTAATAACACGGGAGGAGGGAATCACTGAACTTGATCTTTGGAGTCCTGCAGTTCTCACTGTGCAACTGTCTCATGGAAGAAGTATTTGCACTATTCAAAGGATACTGAGAAACTCGCTACCGCCACATTCCGCAGGGACTTTAGTACAGGGCATCTGTCCTGGCCTTGTCGTTTTGGGGTGGGAGTAACTTACTAAATCAGTAGGGATCGCTCCTTATAAGGGATTCCCTTCTCACACTCCCCACAGAAGACAGCCTATGGCGAAACTCAGCATCGTGATGCATCAAGGGAGCAGCTTGCCAGGCTGGGCCCCACGACAAAGTTGCTCATCCACCAGCTTCCCCAGATCAGATTTTTCCTCCTAAAACAAGACATGGCCAAGATAATCTAAGACTTCAGAGCCACTTTATTTTAAACTAAAGAATGGGCTTGTGGAAATGCTTATTTGAAAGCATAATAATATATCATGAGAAGTCTGTGCTTTTTGTTGAGATGATTTTCTGCTCCTCCTGCCTCTAGGAATGATCTTCTCTCTCCTTTCTTATCGCAAAGGCTCAGAACAAATTCTCATTGTTACTTGAAGAGAAAGTCTCAATTGTGGTGGTGCCCTGAAAAAGCTGCAGTTGTAGGATATTCGCATTATTTCTGGCTGGAGAAAAGCTTGAAAATACCAGAACTGGGCTCCAGTGAGACTAAGGCCTGAGACTCCCAGAGCCACAGTCCCCACAGGCCCACTTGCCCGCCGCAGCCCCAGCCGCACCCCAGCAGTTGGACAGTCCCTGGGCAGAGGGGGCCAAGCCCTGCACCCTTGACAGGGCAGAGATTGTTGGCGGATTCTCCCTGAGAGGCGCCCAGCGGCTCTCAGCACCGGGGACCCTCTGTGGCCTCCTGGGGTGGGGCGGCTGGGAGGGCCCAGCAGGACTGCGAATTGCTGAGCTGCCGCATGGTCCAGGCCAGGCCCAGCTCTGCAGGTGTGCCCCGCCACAGGCACTCAAGGCCCCTGTGTTTGGGATGGATGCAGCTGTGGTATTCATCTTGGAAATCCACTGAGAGCAGCTTTCTTTCTGAAAAAAAAAAAAAGGGCAATGTTTAATCTCTGCAGAAGCACAGATGGATCCCTCTGACAGTAAAAATGCTGGGACCCGGAAGGACTTTAAAAATTTGAGATGTCAATAGAGCAACCAAAAATAGTAGAGATGTAGCTTGGAGAAGGCAGAGGAAGAAGGGGCATAAGCGTTTACATAGCATGGCTTCCTCCCCTGTCCCCTCTCTCAGGCCTCAGCACCCCTGCCCCAGCCTGGACACTGCCGTTTGCTCTTTTCCACTAACTTTCTCTCCAGTTCCACAGCCTCACCTCTGCCAGCCACCCTATCCCCAACCCAGGCCCAGGGAAATCTGCTGTACTGAGAGTTAAGGTTTGATTACAGAATTATTCGCAATCTTTTCTTAGGTTGTACCAGAATTGCAAATAAGACAATAAAGGGGACTCAAAGAGAAACAGCCCCAGTAACTGGAGCTTTAGAATCACTGCCTCCGAGTTCCACTAACAGGGGTGCAAAGCCTCCTGTAACTGCCATCCTATGCCCAGTCCTGGGCGGTGACTCTGGGGAGAGCAGAGAAGTAATTTGTCCAAGGCCACGCAGATAAGCAGCATGACATAGCTAGGACTCAAACCCAGATCTGTTATATTCCGAAGTCTGCTCTCATTGCACCATGCTCTCTCTCATTGGACTTACTGTGGCCAACTCTTTCTTACCTCTGTGTTGCCCACAGCCAGCTTTCTTAGAATCCTGCATGTGTCTACAGAGAACCCTTCACCCAGGACAGCTGATCTCGGATTTGGGGAAGCCGACTAGCCGTTCTGATGAGTAGTGAGTAGGGCTGTGACCAGCCTTGGCTGTAGAATTTCGAATCCAGGCTCGCCTTGGCCCACCAGTGGCCTTCCTGGTCTGCTCCTCTCCCTCTGTGTTTTTCTGCAGAACAATTTAAAGGGCCACTCCCACCACCCACCACGGGTGATGATTCTTAATATTTCTAAGTCCTGGAGGTAAGTGGCCGATCCAGTCAGCACCCACACATGCACTACCTCTGAGAGCACTGCTCCTCCTCCCCCCATAACCCACAGGTTTAGAAGTTTCTCTTCACCTTCCTAGACTAAATAAAAAATCCATTAACTATTGCTGTAGGGGTAATATTTGCAAATCTCACTCTAAAACAAGAAAGCCAAAATAAAGCAAATTAACTGCTTTGGCACCCACTTCCCTCCAAACACCAGAGCAGCCCCTGGAAGCCCTGGGAGCACCGAGGGGAGCTGACCATCTTCCAAAGGACTGGCTCCTGAATAAATCCCACTGTCATATGACCCAGCAGAGCAAAAGGGGCCCTTCTTTACAGCCTACATCACGAACATTTCTCTTCTAATTGTTATTCATGAAAACATTCTAGGATTCTTTGTCAAGTTGTAAATGTTATATAATAAATTATATTTTTGGAAGAAGCAAAAAGAAAGCTTAGTTTTACTCATCTGGAAGTCGGCACAATGAGTGCAGGAACGCCTCCCAGGGAAAGTTTCTTCTTGTGCAGGGGATTTCAACAGGTATTAATATTTTCTTCCAGAAAACAGATTGTATTATGGTTTATGTTTGCCTGGTGATTGCAGAGTTTGGGCCCATGAGGTAGTTTATATTTTAAGGTAATGTTTTGTAAGTAGTAAAATGTGAATACTCTAACTTTCTGTTCTCAGGGTATTCTGTGGGGAGGCGGAGGCCACTGCTTCCCACACTACACCTTGGCCTTAAGACTGATTGCCTGATGAACTAACACATGCTGGCGATCTTCGATTTAATGGCATGCTGCCCTCTCCCTCTCCCCTTCCCCACAAGCTTTGCTTCAAGTACTCTATGTGGAAATTAAATGTTGTTATTCAAACTCCATGTCATTGACTATGTTAAAGTAACTGTTGGCTTCAATAACAGGTAAACCCAAGAATCCCAATGGCTTAACACCCTCGAAGTTTATATCCTGTTAATAGATCATGTAAAGTTCAGTTGGTGGTAATGAGGTAAGGCAGGCAGTGGTTCTGTTCCGTCTAGTCCTTTAGGGATCCAGACTGATGTAGGCTTCCCACCACATTCAGCACTTGGCCTCCAAGGTTGCTGTGGGCATCAACATGCAGCTGACAGACAAGGAAAGAAGAGTGTGTAGGATCACATGGGTGTATTTTAGGGGCCTAACCTAGAACTGTCACAAATTCCTTCCACTCAATTCCATTGGCCATAAGTCAGTCATGTGGTCCCATCTAGATGCTGAGGGTCTAGGAAATGAAGTCCCTGGTTAGGCAGCCACTTCCTCAACAACAATGTATTTCATTGCTATAGATTAAATGTCTATGTCCCTCTAAAATTCATATGTTGAAACCTAATCTCCAATGTGATGGTACTTGGAGGTGGGGCCTTTGGGAGGTGATTAGGTCATGAAGGCGGAGCCCTTACAAATGGGATTATAAAAGAGATGCAGGAGGGCTCTTTGCCCCTTTCACCAGACACATACAACAGGTTCCTATGAACCAGGAAGCAAGCTCTTATCAGACGCTGAATCTCCTGGAGCCTTGATCTTAGACTTCCCAGCCTCCAGAACTGCGAAAAATAAATTTCTGTTGTTTATAAGCCACCCAGTCTATGGTATTTTTGTTATAGCAGCCCAAACAGACTAAGATATTCATGGAAAAGGATCACAAAACTTTGATGGGCAGCTAGGAGACCAAAGAATGAGTCAATGATATTAGGTCCCTCCTGTTGATTTGCCATCCAGTGAGTGTTACGAACAGACTGTGTGTGGTGATACCTAAATTCAAAGGATTTTTTACATACTTCACAAAGACCTAAAGGAGCTGCTTCTCCGTCTCCTCCATTCTGTAAGTCCTGCCGCTCCTAATACTTGGCTGATTTTTAGCAGAAGGTCTTTGTGGTGTTCGACTGCCATCCAGTCTGGATGCGCCTAATACTGGATGCCACACCCTCTACTAGAAACATCAAAAATGTAATTTAAAACCTCAAATAGCAAAGTGGATTAACGGATCCCTGGAGAATCACAGAGACCTCAGCTATAGACGAAATGGGTACCCATACCCAGGGATCACAACGCCATCCCACTGATTGAATCCACCTGAGGAGAGCAGGCACCTATACGTGCAGGCAATTGAAGGAAGCTGCTCTGTCCAGAGACCTTGATTCTTCACCTGGCTCTCCACCAACTGTGTGATGTTAGACAAGTCACTCAGCCTCCCTGGACCTCACCTGTAAAATGAGGACTTTGGGTTAAGTGAACTCTAGGGTCACCTGAAATCCCCTGTTGTCTGATCCTAAGTCGGATGGTCCCTGTTCCAGCTGCTGGTGTTTTTCTTTGTCCCCCTCATATATATATAATATAAACTTAGATATATTTTGTGAGAGATTTCAAAGTTAGCTTAAATTTTTTGTTGCTATTTCTACATAAATGCAATGTGCCTTTCAGGATGCGTGCATGTGAAATTCAACACAGACAACACATTTTGAGGACAGTTTCTTTTGCTCTAGAGATAATGTCATGATTTTTCTTTGTGTTAATTAATAGACTCCTCTCATCCAAATTTCTTCCAAGCAGTGATTTAGTGCAAATTTAATGTAGATGAAGCATGCCCAAAATTACATCACCTTTTTATTAGGTTTTAAAAGAAAAAGATTGACCTCATTTTTAAGAAATTAGTTAAATTGAACTTTAAGTCACATATATGGGATTACACAGCAGCATCTGAAACGTAACAGTAGAATTTTATCGTGTGTGCACCTAATGTCCTGGAATTCAATGATTTCTGGGTGGGGGTGGGCAGTGGGAGGGATGAGTGAGGAAATTGGAGGGGTAATGAAAGGAAAGATGGGGGGAGAGAAGGAATGAATAATCAAAATAATGCTAAGGGAGACGCAGGAAAGAATGAAGAGCAGCACAAAGGGTAAATATGGGGAACATCTAAATAAATCTAAAACAATAATAATCATGTCTCATGAGACTTAAAAGATGTAGAGAATTAAAAATGAATTACAACAATCATACATATTGAAAGCAGGCAAATGGAAAGTATTCTAATATCCTTCCATTTTCAAGGAAGAGGTAAAATTACCAATTTATATTAAACTTTGATAAGTCAAGGATTCATGTTTTCATCTTCTGGGTAACCACTAAAAGAACATTAAAAGAGTGTATTACTTCTAAGTGAATGGGGGAGGGACTGGAATCATAATAAAAAATAGTTGATCTAAAAGAAAGCCAGAAAGAAGAGAAAGATAACAAGGAACAGGTGAGGCAAATATAAAGCAAACAGTCAGATGACAGATTTAAATGCAAATTCATTTATAATGTTATTAAATGAAAGTAGAATAAATGCTCCAATTCAAAGACAAAGATTGTTGATGAGATTAAAGGAAACAAAATTCAACTAAATGCATTTAAAAAGAAACATCTAAAATATAAGAAGGTAAAAGGACTGAGAAAAAGATATGCCACACAAGGAAAGGTAATGTAGCTATGTCGATATGAGATAAATACTTTTGTAAAGCAAAAAGCATTGTTAACAGAAAGGAACATTTCATAAAGAAGACAATTTTGATTTAACAGTAAACATTCTAGATTTGCAAGCACCTAATGATGTACCCTATATGTAAAGCAACACCTCACAAAAATAAAAGGAGAAGAAAGACAAATTTGCAATTGTAATAGGAGATTTTAAACACATTTCTCTCAGAAAATAAGAGAAAAAGCAGACAAAATCATAAATAGAAAAGATTTAAACAATACAATTAGCAAATTTCACCTAAATTTTATATATATATATATATATATATATACATATATATATAATATATATATGTATAACACCACAGCCAATAAATAAATACATAGTCTTTCTTCAAGGGGACATGGAAACATTTACAAAACTTGACTATATGCTGTGACATAAAGAAACTTTCAAAAAGCTTCAAAGAATGATAACATACAATGTATTTCTCTGACAACAGTGGAATACACGTGAAATTTTTAAAAAAAGAGATAACTAGAATATCTCCCTATGTTTGGAAGTTAAGAAACAGACTTCTAAATAATTCATGGGTCAAAAATAAATCAGAAATCATAATAAAAAGTAGAAAATATCTCAAACTAAATGGAAAATACTACCTATCAAAATGTGCAGGGAGAACTTCCAACTTCTAGTAGTGTTAAAGTTTTATCAGACTGACCCTTTTGCCAATAGCAATTATAAACTCTGGACAGAATCCAAAAAAAAACCCCAAAAACAAAAACACAGCTCTTTGAAAGCAATAGACAACAGCATAAAGCAGATAGAAACTGCAGGAGACATGATTTTTGACTGACAGGAATCATACTGGGTAAGATCCACATTTATTTGGCACTTCCCCTGAAGGAATTCCCCCAGTTCACAACAAAAGGGAATTGAGGTCAAGCAGAAGGCAGCAGTATATTTAACTGCAGAGCAAGAGAATGGTTTTCAGGACTGCCAGAGCAGTTGAAAATTGAAGGGGGTGGGAAAAGGAAAAATAGTGAGCAAAGCCTAAAAAGCAAGTACCCTCAAATATTTGGCTGACTTCTGAACTGTGTATGCACAGAGTGAGACTCCAAAAACCCCAGCAGAAAGAAAAAGCCAGAAGGCTGAGAGAACAGGTGAGATATAAATTGCTGCACAGTGCTAGCAGAGAGAGTTTGAGCTCAAGTCCTACCAAGTTAAAGGGGCTTGGTAAACACCTCAGACTTTCCATTGAAACCCCAGAAAGGCCACACCTTAGAAGTAAGAATCACACTTTCTTAAAGGAAAAACTGAAATACATCCATTCTAACGAAGCCTAAAATCAAGTCTCCATAGGATCAAAGTGAACGGCCATTAATTCAACTGCCTCCTAGAACAAAACTCAATACTCTTCAGTGGAAGATAGAGCCCAGAGTCTTTTCAATGCATCACTCACAATGTCCAGCATAAAATACAAAATTAATAGACACACAAAGAAACAGGAAAATCTGACACATAGTTATAGTGTTATTCCAAGCTACAGTGGAGCCTGAAGCAAAGGGAAAAATCAGAAATACTGATTATGTTTATATTTAAAATTTTGGTATTTTGTTCATCATAGATTTTTCTGCATTACTTTTGACTTTTAAAAATACTAATTAGGGGCCGGCCCCGTGGCTGAGTGGTTAAGTTCATGTGCTCCACTTCCCTCGGGCCAGGGTTTCGCTGGTTTGGATCCTGGGTGCACACATGGCACCACTCGTCAGGCTATGTTGAGGCGGCATCCCACATGCCACAACTAGAAGGACCCACAACTAAAAATATACAACTATGTGCTGGGGGGATTTGGGGAGAAAAAAAAAAAGAAGATTGGCAACAGTTGTTAGCTCAGGTGCCAATCTTTAAAAAAAAAAAATACTAATTAAAACAGTATCTCTCTCGTTTATCAACTTTTTTGACATTCCTTTAAATTTTTCACTCAAGGTGAGTATCTCATTCTTCTCACTCCAGTCCTGCTCTTGAAACCAATTAAAGAGATAAAATAGAATCATAAAAATAGTCAATAAATTTTTAAAGGCACAAGAAAGAAGGAAAAAGGAACAAAGAAAAGACAAGACAGAGAACAAGCAGCAGGATAATGGACTAACAGACTTACAGCAAACCATATCAATGAGCGCATTATGTGTAAGTGGTTGAACATGCAATCTGACAATTGAGTCTGCCAGAGATTGTCAGTTTGGACAAAAAGTCAGATCCAACTACCTGCTGCCTACAAAAAAAAATGCACTTTAAATATGAAGACATAAGTAGCTTAAAAGTAAAAGGATGTAAAATTACATATATAAGGGAGGTAAAATTTCTCCTCTACCCTCTTAGGGTTTCCAGCTGGGACTGACATAAAACAGATTAACAGGAGAAAAGCATACAAATTTTATTTAGTAATTTTTTACATGTACATAGGAGACCACACAAGAAAAATGAAGACCCAAAGAAGTGGCTAGGCCTAAGTGCTTATATATTAGATTTAACAAAGAGTGGCAATTGTGGAAAAGTAACTAAACTATATGAGGAGACCAAAGAAAGATAAGAGTTATTTTAACAAGGCCTATTTGTACAGATTTCTCTCCACCTGGACTCCCCATTTCTGATAATAAGAACATTGCCTTTCTCCTGGTATAGGAAGGGTATCTTTCACATGAGAGTTTCATCTCCTGCTTTCAGGGAGAAAAGGGAAGGTCAGAGTACCTTTCTTGCATCTGCTGTTTTTCTAGTGCCTTTAGCTCAAAATAATTAATATACCAAAGTGGCATGTCCTAAACTCCTTCAATGCCATGTTAACACTAATCAAAAGAAAGCTGTTGGGCTATACTCTTTTCAGAGAAAGTAGACTCAGTGCAATGAATACTGCCAAAGATTAAAAGGTAATTTTATAATGATATAGGGGTTAATTCATCAAGAGGACATAACAATCATAAATGTTTATGCATCAAATACCAGATCTTTAAAATATATGAAGCAAAAGCTGATAGAACCACAAGGAGAAATAGACAAATCCACAATTATAGTTAGAGAGTTCAGTATCACTCTGTCAATATTTGATAGAACAAGTACACAGAAAATCATTAAGGATATAGAGGACTTGAATATTGCTATCAACAGACTTGACCTAATTGACATTTTATAGATCACTCAACCCAACAAAAGAAGGATACGTGTTCTTTTCGAGTACACATGGAACATTCATCAAGATAGACCATATCCTAGGCTATCAATAAACTTGAAAGGATTTAAGTCACACAAAGCATATCCTCTGACCAAATGGAATTGAAATAGAAACCACTAACTGAAAGATACCTGGAAATCCTCCAAATATTTGGAGATTAATAACACACTTCTAGATAATCCAAGGGTCAAAAACAATCAAAAGAAAAATTAGAAAGCATTTTGAACTAATTGAAAATGAAAATACAACATATCAAAAGTTGTGGGTGCTGATAAAGCAGTACTTTGGGGGAAATTTATAGCAGTAAATGCCTTCATTAGAAAAGACAAAAGGTTTGGTGCCCCTGGCCAAGTGGTTAAGTTTGTGTGCTCTGCTTTAGCAGCCCAGGGTTTTGCCAGTTCGGATCCTGGGCACGGACATAGCACTGCTCATCAAGCCATGCTGAGGCAGCATCCCACACAGCAGAACCAGAATTATCTACAACTATGTACTAGGGGGCTTTGGAGAGAAGAAGAAGAAGAAAAAAACGAGAAGACTGGCAACAGACGTTAGCTCATGTGCCAATCTTTAAAAAAAAAAAAAAGACGAAAGGTCTCATCAATGGATCAGTTTCTACCTTAAGAAGCTATAAAAAATGAAGAGCAAATTAAATCCAAACCTATGAACACATGTTTCTTCAACATAAGAAAGGAAATAGCAAATATCCATGCAGAAATTGGTGAAATAAAACCCAGAAAAACAATGAAAATTGATGAAACCAAAAGTTGTTTCTTTGAGAAAAATCAATGAAATAAAGTCCACAGAGTCACCTGAATCCTTCTAAATTTATTGAACAGAATAGAGATTCCAGAAATAAATCCATACATATATGGTCAATTGACTTGAGACTAATATGTCAAAGTAATTCAGTAGGGAAAAGATGTTTTTCAACCAACAGTGCTAGAAAAATTGGACACCTAAATACAAAAAAATAAATCTGAACCCTCCCCTCACACCATCTATAAAAATCACTTTGAAATGGATTGTAGACCTAAATGCAAAACCTAAAATTATAAAATTTCTGGAGAGAAAACACAGGAGAAAATCTTTGTGAGCCTGCCTTAGGCAAAGACTTCTTAGATAGTACGCAAAAGCACAAAGATTTCTGTTTGCCAAAAGTCACTTCATCTGATGTCTGATAAAGGATTTGTATCTAAGTACATAAAGAAATCATATAAATAGTAAGAAGAAAAACAATCCAATTTAAAAATTGGCAAACAATTTGAACACTTTACCAAGGAAGAGATACAGATGGCATATACACACATGAAAAGAAGTTCAGCACCATCAGTCATCAGGAAAACAGAAATTAAAGCCACGGCAAGATCCCACTACATACCTACTAGAATGGCTAAAGTTAGTAAGGGACAATATCAAGTGCTAAGGAGGCTACAGAGCAACGAAAACTCTCAGCATTGCCGGGGGGAACGTAAAATGGTGCATGCGCTCTAGAAATCAGTTCAGCAGTTTAATATAAACTTAAACATACACTTACCATATAGTCCAGCCATCCCGCTCCTAGGTATTTACCTAAGTGAAATAAAAACTTATGTTGACACAAAAATCTGGACATATTTACAAACAGATAAATTAGATTACACCAAAACTGAAAACTTTTATGCTACAAGTGATACCATTTAAAAAGTGAAAGAACAAACCACATAATAGAAGAAAATTCTTGCGAATCATATATCTAACAAGAGGCTTGTATCCAGAATACACAAAGAACTCTTACAACTTGATAATAAAGAGACAAATAATTTTAAAATGGCAAAGGATTTGAATAGACATTTCTCCAAAGAAGATATACAAATGGCCAAAAGCTTGTGAAAAGATGTTGAACATTATTAGCCATTAGAGAAATGTAAATCAAAATCACAGTGAGATATCACTTCACATCCACTAGGATGGCTAAATTAAAATAGACAGACAATAACAAGTGTTGACAAAGATATGGAGAAATTGGGATCTTCATACATTGCTGGTGGGAAATGGAAACTACCAGTAGTGGGAGTGAATAAGTAAATAGCAGCATATCCATTTGACGGAATTTTTTCAGCCACTGAAATTCAAGCTTTTGAAGAGTTTGACACAAGAGAGAAACATGGTGAGTGAAAATAGCAGGATAAAGAGTGCACAACCAGACCAGTGTCAGCTGTGGGCTGGAGAGAGCAATGCCTGACGTGCTGTAGATGGGGAGTTGGAAGGTTTGGGCCCTAAGGTTGGCTGGCAGGGGTGCTCAGTGAATGAGGGGAGGGGAGGGGAGGGGCGTGATGCTTTGTCTGCAGGTGATGGAGGCATTAATTCCTGGCCCCTGCCTTTGCCCAGGGTGTGCTCCCTCTGCTGTACTGCAGGCAGTCCCACAACTCATCCCCTGCTGGGCTGCGGTCAAAGCTCCCAGACACTGAGGGGTGAGTTGGGTGGGGATTTAGTCCCTTCCATGATCTTCATCAGCTCCCCGTTACCTTCAGCCGTTCCAAATACACACAGAATTTAAGAATATCTTGAAAACAAAGGTTTAAAACAAATCCCCTAATGTGCATCCCCACCCCCAAAATGGATTGGGAACCCTTATAAAGAAATTCCAGCGCTGGCACTCTGGGGGCAACTGGGCTGTTCTGCAGGCTGTTTCTCCTCCCCAGGAGGCCAAGGAAAACAATCACAGAAGGGCAGCTCCGGGTCCGGAACGGCAGTTGAGCAAGTAAAGCCAGAGGGTGGGAAAAAGCCCAGCCGGGAGCCTGGACACCTGGGTTCTGATCCTAACTGGCCACCTCAGCGCCCAGTTATTTCTTTTGGAAATAACTTCTACAAGTTATTTCTTCTTTCTGGGCCTCCGACTCCTCTCTGTAAAATGGGGCGAAAAGGGGGACGTTCCTAGTGCCTCAGGGCAGCAATCGCTCGACCTAAGCCACGTGGAAGGGCCAAGCACAGGGCGGACGCAGCAGGTGCCCAAGGCGGCTGCAGGCGAGACCTCTAACCCTGGGGGCCTCGGCGCCCTCCTTGATGACACGAGGTCTGGAAGCACTGGGCGGCTGCACCCGGCTCTCCAGGCCAGGCCGCCTAGCGGGAGTGGGCGGCACCGCGGGCGGGAGCGGGGCGAGGCGGGGCGAGGCGGGGCGAGGCGGGCGAGGCTGGGCCGGGCGGGCGGGGCGGGGCGGGGCGAGGCGGGGCCAGGCTAGGCGGGGCCAGGCGGGGCGAGGCGGGCGGGCGGGCGAGCGGCGGGGCGGGCGAGGCGGGCGGGGCGGGCGAGGCGGGCGAGGCGGGCGAGCTGGGCCGGGCGGGCGGGCGGGCGGGCGAGGCGGGGCCAGGCTAGGCGGGGCAGGCGGGGCGAGGCGGGCGGGCGGGGCGAGGCGGGCGGGGCGGGCGAGGCGGCGGGCGGGGCGAGGCGGCGGGCGGGGCGAGGCGGGCGGGGCGGGCGAGGCGGGCGGGGCGGGGCGAGGCGGGCGGGGCTCCAACCTGCGAGCGGGATCGCGGCCTCCAGTCCCTCCCCGGGCGGGGCGGGGCGGGGCGGTCACGCGGACAGTCACGTGGCCCCACCCGGAAGCGCGCCGGCGGGCTCCGGGCAGGCCCGGCGGTGTTTGGCTGTGATCGGTACGTGGACCTCCCGGACGGTCGGAGCGCCGCCGTCGGTTGTCCCCTCCGTGGGCAGCTTTCTCCGGGACCCGTGCGCCCCTCCCGGAAGTACGGAGCGGGCCCCACCCTCAGCCGGGCTGTGTAGCCTTGTGCGGGTCGCTTCGCCTCTCGGAGCCAAAGTTTCTGCAGCTACGACGTGGGGCGGGCGCCACAAGCCAGGCCTTCTTCCCAGGGTAGCTGTGAGGTTCCGGGGGCTTTGGGGATGAAACTGCTGGTTAAACTGTAGAGTACGGGGCACACAGGAAGGCTGCCATTGGGCGGCAGCCCCGCGGCGGCGAGCTGCTAACTCTCGCCTGCGGATTCTCACCCCGGCGTCCTCCAGCCCTGCAGGGGCAAGGCCAAGGCTCCGGGGGAGCGGCCGCAAGACGGAGCTGCTGGAAAGCAGGAGCGGCGACCTTGCGCAGTTTCCTGGGGAGGGAGGCGAGGGCCCGGGGTCCAGGTGGTGAAAATTGGCGCTGGGGGTTTCTCCAGGTTGGCCCGGCGCCGTCTGGAGCTCCACTGAGTCCTGTGTTCCCTCTTTAGAGCAGGGTACAGAGGCGGAGAGGGAAATCACAAAATGACACCGGTGAGGTTCTGTCCAACAGCCTTTTAGAATAAAAAGAAGTAGAACCTAATGTCCACTAAAAAGCTTTCCCGTTCCTCTGGGAATATGACTTGAAGGCCAATCTTGCCGGTGATGTGCCCAGTCTCAGATGTGTGGCAAAAGCTGCTGGGCCCTTAACAGCCCTTTCTTCTTATTTGCTTACAGTGTTTGGTTTCCTAATTAAGCTAAAGCTTTATATTGTTCCTGCCTTTTATCATCAAAATGTGAATGATTCTGGATCCCGTTTAGTTCATCCTGTTATTTGACTGAAGGGAAGGGGGGAAATAAGAGTAATGACCCCCCTACCTGTATGTAAGAAAGCAGAGTTTGCTAAGGGCAGTCCTGCCTGGTCCCTCCCTGACTCTCACCATAACCCTGTAGGCAGGTGGAGCAGGGGTTTGTTCCCTCTTTTCACAGCCCCAATCTGAGGCTCAGAGAGCTTAAGGTGACTTGGCGAGGCCAAAACTAGAACCGGGTCTCTGGTGCCTTTTGTGGAGGTTTACTGCCATTCATTGCGTGGTTCCAGGACACCTCCTCTCTGGGCTTCTTCCCTGTCAGCCTGCAAGCTCCCTGGGGCTGCTCAGGGCACGTATGCTGACCACACCGTGACTCTGAGTGACCCACAGTGAAATGAGAGTGCTTGGAAGGAAACACAGTAGGTGGGAATTCATGTTTATGTGTACCTGGCATGTCCAAAGGACCGTGCTGGCTGGGTTCGTGTTCTCTGTGGTGGGTGGTGGGTGGTGGGGGTGGTGGGATACTGGCCCTAGGATGCCTGGCCATGGGGAGTATATTCTGAGCAGACCGCGTGAAAGCCAGGACCACTTTGACTTCTCAGTCCTTCACAAGCTTGTCCTCTCCCAGGACCAGACAGCACATGGAACGAGAGCCTCTGCTGCCCTCATGACCTCTCTGTTTTAAGTATTTTCAGGACCGGGGATGCTCTGCTGCTCTCATGAGCTGGCCACTGAGTCTGCCTCCCGCAGCCCTTTCTGAACCTCTGGCTGTCCAGAAGCTCTGCTGTGCTCCTTGCTAAGGTAGATGATCCTGTCTGACCCACTCTGGGACTGTGGGAGGTGGACAGAGTGAGGCAGGCAGTGGACTGAGCTCTCTAGGGCCCTGCAGAGCTCTCTCATCCCCACCCCCTGCCTCAGCTCTGCATCCTGTTGTCAGCTCACCTGTTCTCTCCTTCCTGCCTTGCATCCAGGTGGTCATCAAGGCCTGCTAAGCCTCTAAGCTACCCCTCCCTTCCTCTCCTGGCCTCCACCAAGGTGTGGGCTCTTATTATTCCCCACCAGGACGACCAGTCTGCAGGGGCTCCCTGCTGTCGGCTACAGCCTCCATTCCATAGCCCACTGTTCCCCAGCCCATACACTCCCTTCCCATCAGGCCGGCCCCTCGAGCCCCCAACTTTGTCATACTCACCTCGGAGCCCCAGAGCAGCCTCTTCCAGGCCCACCTGCCCTCATCTGGCAGCCTTTTCTTCACATCCGTCGCTCTCCCAGTCTCTGCCCTAGTGTATAGCAGTTCCGTGGGAATAGGCAACATGCTTTGTTTTTCGTTGTGCTGGAAACATCTTGAGGCCAGTGCTCTAAGTGAGAGTTGATAAACCAATAGGAGATTTGGGAGGAATTCAGTGAGTACCACTAAGCTGCTCATATCGGGGCTCCTGAAGAGTGTCCCTGAGTCTGGGACTTCAAGAGGCTATGATCCTATTGAGGAAAGGGGACATCCGCTCATGGCAGAGTTAAGCAGAGCTTCCTGTTCACTCTCACGTCTTAGCACACGTACAACGCGATCACATCTGTGTGGCACACTGTGGTACACGGGGGGATTTGAAGCCCCTGCCCAGGGTTCTCTCAGCTGCAAGCAGCCGGTTCGAGAGCCCTGGCCTGGCCAGGCTTAGGCAGGCTGCCCAAGGGTTGAGAGGTCAGTGTCTTGTTGCACCCCAGGGTCCAAGGCACAGTGTGTGAAGCTCCAGGTTAAGAATCTACCAGTTGGTGACTAATAAAACACATTTCACATAAGAAAGTATTAAAATGTGTGGCACAGAGGGTACCTGCTGCGTGGTGGGGAAGGAGGTTCCGACAGCCAGACCCTGGGGAGGGGTCTGAGGAAGCAGCAGCTTAGCAGGTATGAGGAAGAATCGTGGCTGGGGTCAGGCAGCCTGCTTCTACCCAGAGCGGGAGGAACTTGTGAATGAAATTCCTGTAATGCTGAATCCGCTCCTCGTGGGCTTTGAGGCTCATCTTCTGGAGCTGTGTTTCACTCGAGGAGACACATATCTCTGGACTGCCCAGAGGGAGGTGCCCTAGCCGCCGTCCATTCCAGACCAGGCACTGACTGCCATGAGCGTGGCTCCCTCATACAGTTGGCTCCCTGTCCAGATCAAGAGCTGGGCCCGTCCTTATGTTTGGTTCCATTAGGCCCCTGGTGGGTGTGATGCTATGGTGAGGGGGCCGGATAACAGGAAAGAGCCACAGCTTGGCGTTAGACAGGCCTGGGTTTGGATTCCAGCTCTGCTGTTTCAAGCTGCGCCTGTGTCCTCTTCTGTAAAATGAAGAGTAACTGAAGATTCCTCCTTTACCAAGTTGTTGGGAGGTTGTGATGAAATAACACCAGGAAGGCCTTGTGGTGCGTGGCCCGTAGGGAGGGCTCACTAGGTGCTTGCTGGGATTATGATCCTCCGTGTTACTCAGGCCAAGCTTCTGACATGGGGACTGGGAGGTGACCTTGACCTTGCTTCTCCCCGGCAGATGAAGTGCGTCTTGGTGGCCACGGAGGGTGCGGAGGTCCTCTTCTACTGGATGGACGAGGAGTTTGAGGAGAGTCTGCGGCTGAAGTTTGGGCAGTCGGAGAATGATGGAGAAGAGGTGAGTGCGGGCTAGGAGGGATGGCCGGGAAGGAAGAGGACAGAACTACCAGCAGGTCTGAAGGCAGGAGAACCTGTTCCCCCCCTCCTGGCCTGGCCCAAGGAATCGACAGGGTGGTGTGTGTGGCCCAGCATCCCTCACACCCAGCCGTGCACCCCCATAGGTTGACCTCCTGATGCTCTCAAGTGTAGTCACCCCCACCCCCCACCAGGGCTCACTGGGCTAACCGAGGGCAGGAGGGGGTAGAATTTTAATCACGCAACAGGGAAACTTGGTGTCATCAGTTTCTCTACGTGAAAAGTTCATCATAAGCTTAACCCATTAATTTTTTTAACAGCTATATTAAGGTATAATTGACGTGCTATAAACTGAACATACTCAAAATATACAATTTTATATGTGTGTGTGTGAGGAAGATTGTCACTGAGCTAACATCTGTGCCAATCTTCCTCTATTTTTTGTGGGATCCCGCCACAGCATGGCTTGGTGAGTGGTGCTACGTCCGCACCTGGGATCCGAACCTGTGAACTCTGGGCCACCCAAGCAGAACGTGCGAATTTAATCGCTACGCCACTGGGCTGGCCCCTTAACGTGTACAATTTGATGTGCTGTAGTATGTATATATGTGCATGTGATTCCATCACAGTCAATAAAATGAACATAGCCACCATCCCAAAAGTTTATGCTCCCTCCTTCACCTCCCCTCACCCGGGCAACCACTGATCTGCTTTGCGTCACAGTAGATGAGTTTGAATTTGTGGACTCTTATGTAAATTATACATACATGAAATCATACAGCATGTCACTCGGGTTTGTTTTGGTTTGGTTTTGGTCTGGCTTCTCTCACTCAGTATAATTATTTTGAGATTCATCCATGTGGTGGCGTTTGTCGATAGTTCATTCCTCTTCGTTGCTGAGCCGTGTTCTGTGGTATCAACACGCCACAATTTGTTGTCCAATTACCTGTTGTTGGTCACAATAGCTGGGTTGTTTCCAGTTTTTCCTCTTAAAAATAAAGTGTCTGTGAACATTCACGTGCAGGTCTTTGTATGGACATCAGCTCTCCCTTTTCATAGGCAAACACCTAGGGTAGAAAGGCTGGATCATGGAGGTGTGTGTTAAACGTTTTAAGAAACCGCCAGACTTTTCCGATGAGGTGGTGTCATTTTATATTCCACTAGGAGTGTATGAGAGTTCCACTTCCTCCACGGCCTCGCTAATGCTTGGGGCAATCACCCTTTAATTTTAGCCCTTCTTATAGGTCTCTACTAGAATCTCATTGTGTTTTGATGTCATTTCCTTAATGACTAATGATACTGAGCATCTTTTCATTTGCTTATTTGCCATCCTTATATCTTCAATGAAGTGTCTGTTCAAATCTTTTGCCCATTTTTTATTGGGTTGATTTTTTCTTATTATTCTTATTGAGTTTTGGGAATTTGTTTTATGTTTTGGATCCACGTCCTTTAGTAGATAACGTGTTTTGCAGATATTTTCCTCCAATCTGTGTCTTGTTTTTGCATCCGCTTAACAGTATCTTTCAAAGAGCAGAAGTTTTTAGTTTTGCTAACTCCCATTTATCCACTTTTTGCTTTTATGGATCATGCTTTTTGTGTCATTTCTAAGAAATCTTTGCCCAACCCAAGAGTTTGCCCTATGTTTTCTTCTGGAAGTTTTATAGTTTTAGGGTTTTGTTTTTGGTTGTTTTTTTTTTTTTGAGGAAGATTAGCCCTGAGCTAACATCTGCTGCCAATCCTCCTCTTTTTGCTGAGGAAGACTAGCCCTGAGCTAACATCCGTGCCCATCCTCCTCTACTTTATATGTGGGACGCCTGCCACAGCATGGCCTGCCAAGTGGTGCCATGTCCCCACCTGGGGTCCAAACTGGCGAACCCTTGGCCACCGAAGCAGAATATGTGAACTTACCCACTGTGCCACCGGGCCAGCCCTAGTTTTAGGTTTTATAGTAGGTCTAATGATCCATTTTGAATTTTTGTATATGGGGTGAGGTATGTATTAAAGTTCATCTTTTTTTGCATATGGGCATCCAGTTTAACACTTTGATGTTACAACTCACAGGTAGTTGCCATTTTCACCTGTACAGTTTCCACCCTATATTTTAAAGGAGTAATTTATTTTGAAAATTTTTCCAGATTAATTTTGGATTTAAAAAAATCTATTGTGGATGCACTAGAGAGAGCTCCTGTGTTTCTACAGTAGCGTGTGCTGCTGCCTCTCCTGCTCTCATGGCTCGAGCTTCAGCTGCACTCGCTCCCCTTTGGCGAGTTAACCCAGCCCGACATCACTGATGCTCTTGTCGTAGTCTTTAGGAGTAAAATAAGACTCCAGAGATCCTGGGCGTGTAAGTGGTTTGACTTAAGCTGAAAACCAGATCTGTCTGTTAGGTTCTTTTATTTTTGAGCAGTCAATACACGTAATTTTTAAGTTAAGAATTTTTAAGTATTTCAATTCTTAAGCTGTTATTGCAACTAGTAATTTGATGATGTTTCTCTTCCTCTTTCTTAAAAACCTGGTAAAGGAACAAACTCCTGATTTTTCAGTTTCTAAATGACTAGTATAAAGAAAAAAAGTCTTTAAAGTTTTATTTCTTAAGTATACAACATGTACTTTTTCCTGATCCTATAAATAACATGAATTAATTGTAGGAAATTTGGAAATACAGAGAAGTAGTTTTTAAATGACCGATAGTCCTATTACACAGAGCTATTAGCTGTTTAATATATTTCTTTGGGTCTTTATCTTTTATGTATAGTTGGGATCATACCACATTTCCAGTTTTATTTCCTGTATTTTTCACTTGCAATTGTATCAAAAGCATTATTCCATTTTGTTAAATATTCTCAAAAGCATAAATCTTAATGGAAACATTATATTCCAGTATATGAATAAATGCAGCATCATTTATTTAACCATTTCTCCAATACTAGACATGTATATTGCTTCTAGTTTGCTATAACTATTGCTGTAAGGAATATTTGTGCTTGAATTTTATCCCACATCTTAATATTTCCTTAGGCTAAATTCCTGAAAATAGAAACATCTAGTCAAAAGCCATTCAAAGATATTGTACCACTTTGTAATTCCTCCAAGTACTGTATGAGAATGCCCCTTTGCACTCTGCCCACACCAAATATTTTCATCTCCCCCCACCAAAGAAATTCTTGCTATACCTGCAGAAAAAAAGCTACTACCTTTAAAATGAGTTACTTGTACACAATCTAGATTTTTAAATGACTTTTAATATAATTTGTTCATGACAGTTCAAGAAAATTGTGGTATGCAAATAATTCAACAAACATTTCCCTATGTGGAGGGGTATTCACTCAACACTGCTAATTGAGAACCTACTATGTGCTAACCTCTGGGGTAATGCAGTGAACACAGCAACATGACCCTGCTCTCCTGGAACCTAGAGGCTGAAGAGGGAGGACATACAGTGATCCGATGGCGGTACACACAGTGCGTTCAGGGAGTGAGAAATGGTCTGAAGAAGTTCAACAGGGTGTGGGGAGGGGCGTGACTGGGACGGGGTGACCTGAGGGGGTCCGGGAAGGAGCCATCTGAGCTGGGACCTGAATGATGAGAAGGACCCGCTGTTCAAGTTTGACTGACAGACTCTGCAGCAGCTGGACACAGACTTGGTTCCTGAATGTTGAAAATGTTGGAAGAAAATACGCTCCGTGGCGCTGTGTCCCACTCATATTTTAAATGCCGCACGTTGGCCCTGGCCGGTCGCCCGTTTTTCTTTTCAAGGCAAGGTCTTCCTCAGCTCCTCGCGGACTCCACCAGCTCAGATCTGCCTTCTCCATATTTCAGCCGAGGTTCCCTCCCGACGTCGGCCTGTGGAAGGCCTGCTGTTCCCCGTCTTCCTTTTCGTTCCACAGTGAGGATTGGAGTGGCGGCCATTCCTCTGGCTTTATCCCATTCTTATTCACACATTTTCAACAAATCTGTCCAGTTTACTTTTGGTTTTATTTACTTCCTTATTTTGGAGGGCAGAGAGGATGGATTGGGGAAGAGCTCATAAAAGTAAATGCGTGTCTGTTATGGAAATAGGGAAAGCACAGAGACATGCAAAAAATAGGAGGAAAATTACTCATAATCCCTCTCTCCAGAAGTAGTAACTTTAACAGTGTTGGTTTTCTTAATATTTTTTCATTACTTTGCTTTTTCTATGTGTTTTAAAATATAGAGCATTCACAACCAATTTTTTTTAACAGAACATTGTATCAGAGGAGTTTTCCACGTCATTGAAACACTCCAGCATTTTAAGTAGCTGTATATTCTTCCGTCATTTAGATGTACTGTTATTTATTTAACTGTTCCCCTCGTCCTGGGCACTTGCATATTTTCAGGTTGTCTGCTGCTGTTAATTATGCTGTTGTGTGCATGTTTGTGTGTGTATCTTGGCCTCTCTCTCTGATTATTTTTCTTAGGATACTGTCCCCAAAGTAGCCGCACTGCAGTGAAGAGTGTGGACTCTGGGTCCCGTAGCAAACTTCCTTAGAGCTGCCCGTTCTCCGTTAAATGCCCCAGACATTGCAGTGTGGAGATGTGGCCTCGTTCCTTGACATTTCCTTCTAGATTCGGATCCTGAAGAGCACAGGCAGCTGGCTGACCCTTCTCAGCCTTCCTCAAACCACCCGAGGTGTTGGGGGCTGTCTCTTTTTGTCCCCCTGCCTATCAGGACAGTGATATCCTCCCAGGCGGGTCTTAAACTATGGAGACCCTTGATGGCAAGGCCTGGGTCTGGTCCATGCCTCTGTCCCGGTATCTGGTGCTCTAAGGAGTGTTATTTTCTTCCCCTCCTGCAGCTTCCCGCCCTCGAGGACCAGCTCAGCACCCTTCTAGCCCCGGTCATCATCTCCTCCATGACAATGCTGGAGAAGCTCTCAGACACGTACACCTGCTTCTCGACGGAAAATGGCAACTACCTGTACGTCCTTCACTTGGTGAGTGGGCAGCCTGGGGTCGGTGCTCTTCTCCACTCTGCCCCACGGGCTGCCCACCTGCCTCTCCCTTATCTTGAACTTCAGACTCCTTTAGCAGGCAGAAACTGTGTCTTACCAAAATGTCCTGGGACCCGAGCCTCCCCTCACTGTCCCCAGGGGTCAGGGCAGCTGAGGGGAGTCCTCGGGGCTGGCTGACCTCAGCCCACTGTGCCTACAGTTTGGAGAGTGCCTGTTCATCGCCATCAACGGAGACCGCACGGAGGGCGAAGGGGAGCTGCGGCGGAAGCTGTGCGTGCTCAAGTACCTGTGCGAGGTGCACTTCGGGCTGGTCACCGTGGACGGCCAGCTCATCCGAAAGGAGTGAGTCCTCGTGGCTGGTCCCGTCTGTAAGCCCCCTCTGGAGGCCAGGCAGTGTGTGCACAGCCTCTGTGAAGCTGCCTGTCCACACTCTGCCCCTGCCTGGGGCCCAGGGTCCCAGAAGCGGAGCTCAAAGGAACCTTGGAGATCATCTGATCCAACCGTCTCATTTTACAGATGACGGCCATCCAGCTGGTTGGTGGCAGCACCCAGCCTAGAAATCAGAGCCCGGGACTCCCAGCCCGGTGCCCCTTCCACTCCCCAACATCCATCAGCACGAACCTGGTCTGAGCTGGTCCCCTCTGACTTCTCAAAGCTTTAGACTCTTCCTCCAAAAGAGTGCGTGCCCATGCACACACATAGAATCTTGCGAACGTTTTCTGAGGAGTCAGGCTTGGAACCCATCCCTGGGCCCACAGTAAAGAACCCAGCAAAAGGGAATGGTGGTTCAGAGTGTGCAGAGGTGGGGAGGACCCAAGAAAAGGAGGCTGATTGGAATGTGGACCCGGCAGAGGGGTTCATGGTGGGGTCACCCATGTTTCTTAAGTATGTATTGGGAAGTTGCAGAGTTTGAAACTGGTTCGTTTGAGTTGTAGAGATGTGAGCAGTGCCCCTATTAAGGCACTTATCAAAGAGCAAACATCATTTCAGGTCACCTGGGCCCTGGCAGACCACAGTTTCAGTGGCAAATGCTGCAGGTAGAGAGTGTCTGTTGCACAGACCACATTGACCAATGTAGGTCTTGTCAGCATTCAGGATGGCTGCAACCCTTTGTATGGCCCTGATTTAAAAAAAGCAAAAACCCTAAGGTTTTCTGTTTTCAGTAGCCTGTGGGAGAAGTGAGAGGGATAGAAAGCTCAGGTGCCTTCCCAGGTCTCTCTAGATGGCTTCGTCTCTGTGTGAGAGACACTGGGAGGGCATCAGTTTGCTCCACTGCCTGACTCCTGGTTGTGTGCCCATCCCGCTCCAGCCCGTGGCTGCAGCACAGCCTGAAGACGGCCCCTCTGTGCCTGTGGGCTCTGCCAGTTGATTGGCCCTGTCCCCTGAGCTCACCTGGCTCTGACATGATCTGGGACTGTGTGCCTTTGGTTGAAGTTGGGGACAGCCAGCTTTTGCATGGTCTCTCCTGCTGTCTCTGGCTCTGTCCCCAGGCTGCGGCCCCCAGACCTGGAGCAGCGCACGCGGGTGTGGGAGCAGTTCCAGAGCCTGCTGAGGACCTACGGCCGCCTGCGGGAGCAGGAGCAGAGCTTCGCTGTGGAGGTGACTGCTGGGCTCGGGGCTCCTCGGACCACGGAAGCGTTTGACCCTGATGAGTGAGGGCACAGGCGGACCCTGACAGTCATTTAGAGAGCTGCTCTTCCTAGCCACGTGGTGGTTGAGTACTCTGATGGGCCTCCCTACCATAAAATAGCTGGATCCTGAATAAAACAGACTTTTTCCTGCAGTTTTTGGGTTTACAGGAAATTATGGGAATCTCTGAAGATTGCCCCCTCAACTCTGCCCCCCCCCATAAAAATTACATTGAGCTGAAACCAGAGCGTAGAGAGGTGAGAAATGAGCAGCGCTGAAGCCAGGACTGCCTGAGTGCTAGGGGTGGCACCAGCGCCGCGGCCAGGGAACTGCGCCCGAGGCCAGCAGCACATCGGGGAGCTGAGCTCCGGACCCCTAGACTCCTCATTAAACACAGACCCAAAGAGTAGAAGTGGCCTTTGTCAGTAGTGCTCTTGGCTCCCTGTGTAGACAAACATGGTTTCTCTCTAGATCAGTGGTTCTCACACTCAAGGGTGCACCAGAATCATCTGGAAAGCTTGTTAAATAGAGATTGCTGGGCCTCACCCTCAGGTTCTCATTTGGTAGTTGAGGGGGGGGGTGGCGTGGGGAGGCTCTAGAATTGGCATTTCCAACAGGTTCCCAGGTGATGCTGATCATAATAACCATAACCAGCATACAGGAACTACACTTTGAAAGCCACTCTTCAGAGGACAGATTAAGGGCAAACAAATATGAGCTCACAGTCAAAGTTCAGACGCACAACAAAATAAGCCACCATGAGTGAGAGTCAAGGGGTCAATCACCAACAGAGCTAGATTCCCAAGGAACTTGATATATGGGAATGATTAGGTGTAGAGTATAGAATAACTTCATATGAAATATTTAAGACGTAAATGCTAGAAAAGAACCCATATAGAGATTTTAGAAATGAAAACATAATTGTTAAAAGGAAAACCTCAAGGGATAGGTTAAATAGTAGATGAGACATAGCTTGAAAGAGAATTAGTGAACTGGAAAATAGATTTGAAGGAATTCATTTTCCCTCCTCACTCACTCTTCCCATAACCCTACAGCACCTGCTGTATAAGAGTGTGCCAGACCCCGGGGGTGCAGAGATGGGTGAAGACACGGTCCCTGCCCTTGAGGCACGTCAGCCACACATACACACTAAAAAATACCATTGAGGACCCTGGGTGCTGCCACATGGGGCTTCTTCTCAAGATCCACCATGGCACAAAGGGTGGTGTGGTCAACTCTCTGAACCAACAGGAAAGGCTTCTCGTAGGAGGTCATCTGATGCAGTTAAGATAAAGTCCAAACTCCTCCTCAAGCCTGCCAGGCCGCGTATGACCTGCCGCTGCCTGTGTCACCCCGGCCTCATCGCACGCCTCTCCTGTCCTCACCCACTATGTGCTGGCCACCTGGGACCTCTCCTTCTCAGGAGGGCTCTACGTTTAGCCCCGTGCAGTGTGGTAGTCATTAGCTGCATGTGGCCGTGGAACATTTGAAATGTAATTAGTCCAAATCAAGTTATGCCATACAGGTAAAATATAGACTGGATTTTGATGACTTAGTACAAAAAAAGGATGTCAAACATCCCATTAGCAATGCTTTTATAGTGTATGTTGAAATGACGATATTTTAGATATACTGGGTAAAGTGAACTATTAAAATTAATTTTACCTGTTTTCTTTTTTAATGTAGTTACTAGGAAATTTTAAATTCCACATAGGGCTTGCCATATATTTCAATTAGACAGCACTGTTCCAAACTCTCTCCCTACCTCAGGGCCTTTGCATATGCTCTTTCCTCGGTTTGCAGTACTGCCCCCACCCTCTTTCTCTGTCAGGCTTTCTTGTTCCTTAGATATCAGTTTAAAGGTCCTCTCCTCGGGGACATTTTCTTTTGAGCCGTACCCAAGTAGGTCTGTTTTTCTCCAGTTCAGAACTGTGTTTTTCCTCCTGCACACTTATTACAATTGGCACTTATTTTGTCTGCTTCCTTGCATGTTGTCTGTGTCATCCACCAAAGTCTAATGACCAGACTTTCAGCCCCAGGAAGGCAGGGACTGTGCAGGTCTGATTTTCCTTTTTCCTGAGTATCTGGCGCATAGTATGCACTCAGTGTGGACTGAGTGAATGTACCCACCAGCCAGGGCCCAGAGCAGGACACAGTGGTGGCTGACGTGGTTTCCCCTCTGCCTGCCCATTGCCAGGCCGTGGAGCGGCTGATCCACCCCCAGCTCTGTGAGCTGTGCATTGAGGCGCTGGAGCAGAACGTCATCCAGGCTGTCAACTCCAGCCGCGAGCGGGCCGGCGAGGAGGCGCTGCACGCCCTCCTGCTCGTGCACTCCAAGCTGCTGGCTTTCTACTCCAGGTGAGCCTGAGGTCCCAGCCCCTTCCCTCCCTTTGAAGAGCACCTCGTCCCTGGCCAAGAGAACCTTCCAGACCCATCTCTGCCACAAAGCCTTCTCAGATTCTTCAGTTCTTCAGCCCCTCTCGGCTCACTCCTTTCTCTGAATTATTTCTTCCTGGAACACTGTCTCCGAGTTTGAATTTAGGACTTCCTGATATGCTGTTCCTGGTCCCTTTTGGTTTCCCATCAGTAATTTTTTTGTTTTAATACAAACAAGTTTTATTTTAAAAATTGATGAGTTAATTTTATTTATACCTTGCCTCTCTCCAAAAAAGGGTGAGGTCAGTTGACCGTCCATGACTCCTTGAGAGTGGGGCCATGCTCCAGATTCCCCTAGCCCGCCTGCCCCCATCTGCGGCCACACGCTGACCAGCCGCCTGTTCTGCTCTCTGCAGCCACGGGGCCAGCTCCCTGCGCCCAGCTGACCTCCTCGCCCTCATTCTCCTGGTTCAGGACCTCTACCCCAGCGAGAGCACAGCGGAGGACGACGACACTCAGGTCTCAGGGCAGCTCCCTGGGCCGTGGGAGGCCGTGAGGGAGACGGCTCAGAAAACTGGTCTGGAGGGTGCTGGGCAGGCTGCCTGGAGAGGCTGTGGGTTCCAAACCATAATTCTGGGCCTGTGGTTGGGCATGACCATTTTCTCCTGCTTTCAGGATGTAAGGGGAATTCGAGAATGCATGCTGTTTTAGTGGGTTAAAAGTGCAGAGTTTGGGAGTCAGACGGTCCCAGCTTCACCACTTAGCTCTGTGAGCTGGGCAGGTCCATGCGCTGTCTGAGCCTCAGTTCCCTCATCTGTGCGGTGGGACAGTGATGGCCTCTTCCTCCCAGGGTGGTTATGAGAACTAAAAGAGATGGTTTACCCAGAGCCCAGCAGTGCCTACAGCGTAGTGCATGCTCCCTGTGTGGCAGCCGCCATCGTCACCATCGTCATCCTCATCATCGGTGGTGGTGGTGGTGGTGATCATGGTGGTTGTGGTTTGGATGGCAGTGTGTGGGAATTTCCTGGAATTTTGGTGGTTCTGGAGAAAGACTACACCAGCTAGAATTGAAACCTCCTTGGAGAGTGAGGACACACCCCCAGCACTGCTCCGTGGATGGGGCGCAGGGGGATGCAGGGGCTGGAGGGCCCTGCGTGGCCCTCTGCTCTGAGGGCTGCACTGTGAAGTGCTGGGGGGTGGAGGACCAGTGGGGAGGAGCCGGTCAGACATACTCTAACCAGCTTCTCCTGTGCCTGTCTCAGCCTTCCCCATGGAGGGGCCGGAGCAGCCAGAACATTCCAGTGCAGCAGGCCTGGAGCCCTCACTCTGCAGGCCGGGCCAGGAGGAGTTCCGCAGGGACCGTAAGCTCTGCACTGTGCGGAGGGGAGAGGGGAGGGCCTGCCTCTCCCGGGAGAGTAGGGGCCAGGGTTGAGCCCGCCTGAAGAGCCCGCCTGAAGAGCCTCTCAGAGCCCTCGGCCCAGGCTGCCCTCTCTCCCTCCCAGGAGACAGACAGCTCCCTCCCTGAGGAGTACTTCACACCGGCTCCTTCTCCCGGGGACCAGAGTTCAGGTGAGACCTGGGGAGGAGAGGATGGGGAGGGGAGGGGGGAGATGCCAGTTGGCAGCCCTGGGGAATCCGTCTTAGGGTTCTGTGGACGCCCACCCCCTATAAGGGCCCAGCCACAGATGCCCAAATTCCTGGAGTACAGGACCCTGTCTGCAGCTCCCGCTGTCCACCTTGCAAGCGCCAGCTTGAAGTCAAGGACTGTTAAGGCCGCTCCAATGATTCCTAGAACTTTTTATGACAAATTGATTTCATTTGTGTGTATTCTCTCCCTTTTCTTTTTGTAATTAAGAAGTAACCAAGTAATTAAAATTAATAATCATTTGATTTCAGTATGATTTAAAGTATAAATATTCAGTTTATACCTTACCTGTTTTTCAAAGTAAACAATTAAAAGAAAAATGTTCAAAATTTTATTCACAAAATGACAGCGTTGCTTAGAGAAATAGATAAGCCAAAATCCAGACTCTTGAGGTCCCTGTGAACAAGCATCACGTTTATCTCAGAAGTACTGGGGAAAAAGGAAGGATGGTGTGGTTCCCGTCACTGATGGAAGAAAGAAGGCCAGGGTTTCCGGAGGAGAAACTTCTCAGACTGAGTTTTGAAAGGAATTTCCTGTGTGGCCCCCTCAAACCAGTGGTTCACGACCCTGGCCGCCCGTTAGAATCGCCTGGGCAGCCTCAGCCAGGCCAGTTAAGCTATTCGTGGTCAGTGTGAATACTTGTAGAAATTTCGCCGGTGAGGCCAATGAGCGTGAGGGCGGGAACCAGCGCCCCGCCGAGAGTTAGGTTAGAGCAGTGGGGCTCAGCCCTGGCTGCACAGTGGCCTCACCTGGGGGTTTCAAGAACTGAAGCTGGGCCTGTGCGGGACAGTCTGACTTAGCTGGTCTGGGGTGTGGCCTGGACATCAGGATTTTTAAGTCTCATGTGCAGCCTCGGCTGAAACCCGCTGAGTTAGATGTTCTTAACTTTAGGTGCTTGGATGGGCTACAGGAGCCAGGGCCCCCTGAGGTCATGTGCCAGCTCACAGATGCTTGCGTATTTCTCTGGGGCCGGGTCCGTCACAGTCCTCAGTCCTCTGAGCTCTCCATGAGCCCAACACACGTTGAGAAACCCCACTTGGGGGTGTTTGCTGAAGTTCCTTTTTCTGACGGCTCCCTTCCCTTCTTGATCACGGTCCTTTTCCTGGCCCCTGTCTCCCAGGGGTCAGTTTTTTTATGCCGCAGGGCTGTAAATGATGCCGTTCCGCGGTGCACAGAACTCACAGCTTATAAATTGCTTGAGTTGCGTTCATCCATTTGTAAATCAGGTGTCTGAACCACAGAAACAGGCTTCCCCAGGGAAACGTGATTGTAAATGATAGTTATTTGCAGTGAACTGTAAGAGAGAACACTATCGTTACAAACATCGCGCGTCAAATATTGAATGGTTCCCTGGGTTTTTGTGAGCTGTCCCAGGAAAGGAAATCCAGCTTAGTTCCTAGCACAGAGTAGGTGTTCAGTGAAAGTTTGCTGATTGACTAAAGGACTGGGGAAATGTAGAGCGTGTGTGCTGCCTCCTAGTGAAGAGGCACTGTTATAACCAGGGAGGGGGCCTGAAGGATTGGCGAGGGCAGAAACAAGGAGGGGATTAAGGGGGTCCAGGAGGGGCTGAGGAATATGCCCCCCACCATTGCCAGGTACGCCCGCAGGAGCCTGCTCCAGCCGCCGGCTTCAAAGGGAGCTTCCTCCCCCAGGCCAGGCCGCCTTAGCCCGGGTGCAGAGTTCACCCTGCACCTGCCGGCTTGGGATAGGATGGGAAGGCCAGTGCTGCTCCAGTCCACACCATGGTGCCCTTGCCCCTCCCTGCCAGGGGCTGGGAGCCACTGATGGTGCAGGGCCATCTCTGTGCCACCCTCCCCTCTGACACGCTGTTGGCCATTATTTACATTTTCCCATTATTTATGTTATTACTTGTGGCCTGCAGGTAGCACCATCTGGATGGATGGGGACACCCCACCCACTGATACTCCCCAGGTCCAGGTGAGTTTCTCCTGGGGGAGGGGTTCTGCGGGGCACCGGCTGATCTGAGCTGTGGCCGGGAGCGCTGGGCAGTCAGGGTTTCTCCTCTGGGGGTGCCCTGCACCAGCACCAGCCTCCGTCCTGCCACCTCAGCGATGGTCAGAGCGGGGACGGAGCGCAGCCCAGAGGCAGGGCTGGCGGGCGAAGGGGTCCTCAACTCCTGAGAAATCCCACCCTCCTCTCTGTTCTTGGGAGTGAAAGTCCAACTTAATTTTTAATGTTTTTTCAAATGAGAAAGTAAATATATTCATTGTAGAAAAATCGGGAAATACAAAAATATGGAAAAGGAATAAAAATCACTCAATCCCTCCCCAGATGTTAACTGTTAGTAGACTATTAGATTTGAGTGTTTCCTTCTAGTCTTTCCAGTGATTTTTATATATTTATATGTATGTACACACACGTACTACACATGTTTTTTTCTTTTTACCAACTTTGAAACCTAATGTGCTTCATTATACCTTTTCCTTTCGTCGTTTTCCCATTTACTGGGCATTCTTCAACAGTGTGGTTTTTAATGACTCTTCAGGAGTCTGTCACCTGTGTGTTATTATTTATGGAGCAGATCCCCAGAACATACAGTCCATCATATGTTTTTTCTTTATCATGAGACCACAGTGACATCCTTACAGAGAAATTTTCGTGGCATCTCTGATAATTTCCTTAATTCTCTACTTTTGCTCACTAAAAGCTTGCTTACTCAGAGCCCTCCATGCTGCTGGAGTCTTGCTCATTTAGTCCTGTTGTGCCTCAGTTTCCCCATTGGAATGGCTGTCAGGATGTTCTGAGGGTGGGTGAACTGACAGTGTTACTTCAACGCCATCATCCAGTAAGGGCACAGGGCGGGAGCCCCTTCCCCCCCGTGCCCCCGTCTGTCCCGCCGCCTCCTCCCTTCATCACCCTCGGCCCCTGCTTGGCGTCCAGGCCTGACTCCGGGCCGGAAGGCCCAGGACCACCTGAGAGAGAGACAGGTGGCAGCCGTCCTGGAGCTGCAGGGGCTGTTTCCACCGAGGGTGTGGATTTGAGAACTGCGGTTTCTCGGAGCTGAAACTGTTATCCCTCCTGGTTCACAGGGAGGACAGCGAGTGGGCAACCGTGGGTGGATCCCATATGAGGAGGCCAGACGGCTCCCCACCCTGACCCCTGACAGTCCGTCTCCCTCCACAGATGGCTGAAGACACCCTCCAGACACTGCTCCCTTGCTGCCCGGTACCTTCCAGCCCCAGAAGGATTTTTCTGGATGCCAGTGTGAAAGACAGCTACTGCCCCATGGTGCCCCACACCATGTACTGCCTGCCCCTGTGGCCGGGCATCAACATGGTGCTCCTGACCAAGGTGGTAGCACCCCCACCTGCCCCAGCGACGCTCCGGCCTGGACGCTCTGCCAACGGGCTGCCCCTGCCTTGCGTTTCTTCCCTTAGAGCCCCAGCACACCCCTGGCCCTGGTCCTGTACCAGCTGCTGGACGGGTTTTCCCTCCTGGAGAAGAAGCTGAAGGAGGGCCAGGAGGCCGGGAGTGCCCTGCGGTCCCACCCCCTCGTGGGGGACCTGCGCCAAAGGATGGACAAGTTTGTCAAGAACCGTGGGGGCCAAGAGATTCAGGTGAGACCCAGATCCCGGACGTGCCGGCCTCGGGGAGAAGAGACGGGGCCTGCTCGGTCCACAGCGGGGTAGGGGCAAGGGCTCTGGGCCCAGGTCCTGCCCACCATAGGTTTGCGATCCTTGTTTCCCCATTAGGAAATGGGAACAAAAGCTTAGAGCGGCACGTGACGTTTTCAGAATGTTTTTATGTGAATTTGGCAGAACCTGAGTTATAATTCCCGTTTTTTAGATGAGGAAACTGGGGCTTAGGCAGAGAGTGGACTTGGCCAAGGTTACTCCCTGTGAGTGGTGGAGCCAGAGCCTGACTTCAAGACTCAGTGACAGCCAGTGGTCCGCCCATGGCGCCCCGAGCAGCGTGGCAGGTCACAGAGGAGCAGGACACAGGCCACTCCCACCCCCGGGGGCTTAGAGCCCAGGTCTGGAGATGAGACCAAGGGACGTGGACAGTGTGTAAACAGTGAAAAACAGGGCACAGTCTTGTCAGGAGCCTGGAGGGACGTTTGGGAGGGGTAGATCACCTGGTTAAGCGGCTGGGGCTGCTCCCATGGCGGGCCGCACTGCAGTCTGTTGAGGACCTGAGATTCGTCATGGCTGGAGTGTGCATTGGTCCGAAAAAGGGCAGGAGGATTAGAGGAGGCAGAGCGAGCAACCGAAGGCCCAGACCCAAGTGGATGCAGGTTCCTGGCCCCAGGAGGCGGAGGCTGCTCAGCATCTCCCAGTGCCTCCGGGCGTCGCAGTGCGTGGGGTCAGAATGCAGGGTCCTCCCTTAGGAGATCGCCCAGGGCTCCTCCCACCGGCTGCCTGTGTCCACCCTGCCCTGGAGGCCTGCCCTGTCCTTCTGACAGTGTTAGTTTATGTGTCTGCTGGCTGGACAGTGAGCCTAGGACATGGCACACAGAAACTGCTCTTCCAATAAATGTCTGCTGAGTGAATAGAACATGGTGTAGAGCGGGGTGCAGAGAGCCGGGGGAACGTGCCGGAGACCCAGCTCTGGCTGTGCAAGGGCGGGTGTGTGCTGAGCTCAACGCTGAGGCTGTCGGGAGGGTGGTGCCCTCTCGGAGCCGGACATCAGAAGGGTCTCCCCTGGACCTCACTGTGAGAACATCATCACCTGTCATCGTGACCTGTCACCTGTCCTCCTACAGAGCACCTGGCTGGAGTTCAAGACCAAGGCCTTCTCCAGAAGTGAACCCGCCTCGTCCTGGGAGTGAGTGGGGGGCTCTGGGGATGGGGTGGGGAGTCGTTTGGACAGAGAGGCTGTCTCCCCTAGGCCAGGAGGGAGAGCATGCTCCAGAAGGTGCTTATGAGGGCAGAGGGGGTCCTGGGAGAGCAGGGTCCCACCCCCGGATGCCCGAGGTGGGTTGGAGAGCAGAGAGGCTAGAGGTTGAGCAGGGCTGTGAGGACCCAACACTGGGGGAAAACTGAGATGCTGGCCCCTGGCTCGCTGAGGGTGAGGGTGCACTCCATCAGCTGTGTCTGTCATCAGTTAGGAGCAGGGGTGACCACAGGGCTCCCAGGGCCCTTCCCGCTGTGACGTTCTCATCTCCCGGTGCCCAGGTTGCTCCAGGCGTGCGGGAAGGTGAAGCGGCAGCTTTGCACCATCTACCGTCTCAGCTTCCTGACGGTGGCTCCCGGCCGGGGAGGCCCTCAGCTGCCCCGGCACCTGCAGGAGCAGGTGCAGACGCTCATGCAGTAAGTGCCGCGGGCCCCTTGGGAGCCATAGGGGGCTCGAGGGGCGGGCACCCTCACTGCTCCCTGCCTCCCCTGCAGAGAAAAGCTGATGGACTGGAAGGACTTCCTGTTGGTGAAGAGCAGGAGGAACGTCACCATGGTGTCATATCCTGGTGCCCGCGCCCAAGCCTGCCCGGAAAGGCCCCTCGTGTCTGCCCATCTCCTCCACCTGCTGGCTCTGGACTGCGGGCTTTGGGGAAGGAGAATGTATTCCACCAGCTCAGCTGCTTTTCTCTGAGGAAAAATAATAGGAGTTAGTGTCCTCAGTGCCTTGTCTTAGGAACCCTCCGAGGCTGAAATTTCAGAAACCCCTGCTGTGCCACAGACACTGATAAAGGCCTTGGAGAGGTTTCTGTCAATGCTGTGCAGCCAGCAAAGTGGTGATGGGTCTTCCACGAGATGGGTCCTGGGGTCAGCCAGGTTTCAGAGGCCATGTCCTCCTCCTCGGTGGTTATACTTCACAGTGGACTGTGAAGGCTCTGAGAAGGCCTGCAGTAAATATGTTTATCCCTGTTTAAAAAACCATGTCCAAGACTTATTTGACCCTTTTCTTATGGAACACCAGTTTTATCAAATACTGATTTTTCCCTGGAACTCTCTATAAAGCAACTTTTCTGATAGTAAAATCTCTAAAGGGTCAGGCCTCCAGTCTCCTGAGACTTCTGTCTTCAGCTTGCAGGTGAAAGGACAGACGGGGCCTCGTTAGCCACCAGCCACCACCCTTCCATGGGTGTCTGTTCCCCTCTCAGATGGGAACTGTCCAGCCTCTCAAGATGAAGTGTAGAGATGAACAAAATCACAGTGGGGTGTGTGGGCCAGGCAGTCAGCTAGGCTCGCTCATCAGCTCCGCAGCTCTGCAATCACACCAGCCTCCCCGCGTGTAGAATTTAAACTCATCCCTCACGAAAATGATAAAATATGAACATACCGTGTTCCTGTTGGGTCCAGAGCTCCCCATATTAAATGTATTAGCGTCAGGGATCCATTGTACTCGCATCTTAGAACTTCTCACGGTCGGGGGTTCAGAGGTAAAGAGAACTGGGAAGAAGGGATCCTAGGGGGTGGGCTGGAATGGCACCCCGCTGGGAGGGCAGGCGTGGCCTCCCGACTCCATGGTGTCCCCTTGTCCTGCGTCCAGGACAGGGTAGCTCCTTCTCTGGTTCCTGGCTTTCCGAGTGCCTTAACTCTGCCCTTCACCTACCTCGAGGACTTCCCCGGCTTGGTGCATTTCATCTACGTGGACCGCACGACTGGGCAGATGGTGGCCCCGTCCCTCAGCAGCAGCGAGAGGACTTCGTCAGAGCTGGGCAAGGGGCCCCTGGCCGCCTTCATCAGAACCAAGGTAACTGCCACCCCGGCCGGGCGCTCTCCACCACCCAGCAGACACCATGTGCTGGCCTGACCTCTGCCCTCAGGCTGGGGCTCCTGGAGGACTCTCAGCACACCCACCTCAACCTTCCTGGCCTCTTCTGTCAGCGTCCATGCCCGGCTCTGCGGGCTCCAAGGAAGACTGGCTTATCTTCATCACCCCAAGGGCCCGATCAGTACCCGGGGCCACGTGGGCCTCAGTCCAGGTTGGGGGTTCTTCCCAGGTGTGGACTAGCACCTGGATTAGCAGTCTGGGCAGCGAGGTCAGAGGAGGAAACGGCCAGGGCCTGATGCCAGGCCTGGCATAAATGCCCAGTAAGTATTTGTTGAATTAACTAAAACAGAAAGAAGAAACATAGGTTAATCAATCTGAGTATCAGAATTTAAAACTAGGTGGTTTCTACTAAGGAAACATCCCCTGGGGGTTCATTTCTTCTCCTTAACTGACTCTTCCTCTTTATGGCAAACTAATATATGTACACTTGTATATACTGTACATATATAATGCTATGTAGCATAGTATAATATAGTATATTGCATGTGCATATATATATTGTGTGTGTGTGTGTCCACATAAAGTATATCGTAATCGTCAAGATAAGATGGGTGACAGGAGGCCTGTTGGAGTCCCAGCTCTGCCCCTCCCCAGCTGTGTGACCTGGGGTGTTCCTTAGTCTCAGTTTCCATTTCATTATCTGTGAGAGAGGAAGGTAAACTATTGATGTCGTAGAATGAGCACAAAGATTACAAATGCACGAGATGATGCATATGAAACACTTGGCTTGGTATGTGGCACAGAATATGGGTGGAGTTTGCTGAGCGTTTCCTGGTACCATCAGCATCAGCAGCAGCATCTTCGTCTTCGTCCTCTTCCCGGAGGTGGTTGTGGTTTCTTTCACTGTTGTTCTGTGCAGTCGGTTGTGGTTGAGATCATTCTGTGTGTGCACTTGTGTTTACCACATTTCACTTCACTTTATATCGGATGCATTTCCCCATGTCATTAATTCTTCATCAACAGGATTTTTAACAGCTCCACGGTAGTCCATCATGTGACTGTAACATAATTTACTCAGCCGTTTCCCTGGTGTTGAGCATTTAGATTGTTTCCAGGCTTTCACTGTTATAAATAATTCTGCAGTGCACACCTTTGTGCATCCATCTTTGTCCTCTTCTCTGATTATTTTCTCAATATGGATTCCCAGAAATGGAATTACTAAGTCAAATGGGAGGAATTTTTTTGGGGTTATTAATACGTGTTGTCAGATTTCTTTCCTGAAAAATATAGCAAATCCACGTCTTTGTTTGCAGATTCAGTTAGACGTTTTGTTGTGGTCGGCTTTGGAGTGAATCGTGTGTGTCCCCCACTAAGCTTTCTGGTGAGAGTGCTCATCAGGCCTTTTCGAGGGGGATGCGGGAGCCCGGCGTCCCTGCTGCCTTCCCTCGGCAGCTCACAGGCAGCATCAGCAAGACCCTGAATTAGGCCAGAGAACGTCACAGAGGCATCTGAGGCATTGGTCCCTTAGCCACTGTGTTTCCATCGGACCCCATGTGAACCCTGGTTTGGATTCAGCCCTGGAGCGGAGGACCCCCTGGATCAGGGGGCTCTGTGTTCACACACCGTACTTGCACCTTCCCGGCCTAATCTATGCCAGATTCCTGGCCCTGGACCAGCCCCGTGAGCCTTATAAAGTGTGGATTAATAATGTCGCTGGCTGTTTTCTCACCTGAATGCTGAGTTTACTAGTTAATGGCTGTGTGTCTAGTAAAGTTAGAACAGCATCTTCACATGTATTTGATCGATACAGTAGCCATGGGGCTGGTCCATCCATCCCTCCATCCAACACCGATTTGTTACCGAGCTCCTGCTGTGAGCTGAGGCCGTCTGTGGGCGCTGAGCGTGCTCTCCTGCTTTCCCAGGTTTGGTCTCTGATCCGGCGGGCGCGCAGGTACCTGCAGAAGGGCTACACCACGCTGCTGTTCCGGGAGGGCGACTTCCACTGCTCCTACTTCCTGTGGTTCGAGAACGAGATGGTGGGTGTGGCCAGGCGCGGGGCAGGACAGTCCTGAAATACTTTCCTTTCCTGTGACTCTTGGACTCCTTTCTTCTGGATTGTGTTCAGTCTGTCTGTCTCTTCGTCTCTTCTCGTCCCTGGTGGAGCTGACAGGTAAGCACAGCTGGTCGGGACCCAAAACTCAGAGTATATTCGCATAGGCCCTATGACCCCTCCTCCCAGCTCTCTGAAGAACCCACGCCATTGTTAGGGCAGTGTCCAGGTACCATGCGAACAGGTGGATGCAGACCCCGAGTGAGAAAGGATGCTCAGGTTGCGTGCCGCCTCAGTGGTGCTTCCACGTCATCAGCTCCACCTGGGAAGCGTGGCACACCGTGGTCCCCTCGTAGAGGTGGAGAGACCGAGGCTCGAAGCAATTACCCATCCTGCCCGAGGTGATGCTGACAGTGTGGCTCGGGTCTCTGGCCTCCTGGGCCTGTTCCCCAGACCTCACAGTTGCTACAGTGTAAGCACAGGTCAAGGGGACTTGTCTGTGTCTCCCCCCGACCTCGCTCTGTCTCTCTGTTTTTCCTTTCCCCGTTTCTGTCTCTATTTTCTCCGCGCTTGTCACCTTTAATCATTATCCCAGCTCTCTAAGGGCCAATTCCTTCTACCCCTCACATTCCCTTGGTCCCTGTTCTCCTGTCCCCTCCCTGCTCGTGCTCTGCCCTCGGTGTGAGCCCTCCTTCCCTTCACCCTGAGAGCAATGCCCCATCCCGGCCCAGGGTGCACGTAGTTGTTGGGTCTCTCACAAGCTCATATCCGCACAGCGCCCTGTGATGGCTGGGGCCGGTGTCATTGGCCCCAATGTACACATGGAGACACTGATGCCCCACAGATTAAACACCATAGCCAGGGCCACCGAGGTCATAAGCGATGTAAGCCAGAACCCAGGCTCAGCTCTCCTGACCTGCAGGCTCCCATCTTTGCTCTGTGGCCTCTCAGAAGTGCCCAGGATGTGTGGATGTCCTTTCCCTTAGCTTCTGGGGAGAGACAGGGTTTCACATGCGTGGTTGGTCCCACAGGGTAACAGGCTGAAGCAGAGCTGTTGGGTGGGAGACTGGCGTGCAGGTGCAAAGGCGGGCTGTGCCATGTGGTCATGGGCAGCCACTTGACACTGCTGGGTCCACCTCCTCACCTGCAGGCCGGGCCCACAGTGCCCAGGCAAGCATTTCGAGGGCCTGTGACTGTGTTTGGCACAGAGTGGGTGCCCGATGGATCTTGATTCCTTTCCCCTCCCCTCCTCATGCACCCTGCAGTACCTGCTGCTTTCAAGGAGAGATGTGGGCCTTTTGATGATACCTTGCTCTCCATGACACCTCCCTGGTCGCCCTCCTGGCAGCCCTCCCAAGCACGTGCCTATCGCTCATCACGCAGGTCCACTCATGGTTGGGAATGAGAGCTACCGCGTGCCAGGCACAATGCTCGGAACTTTATAGATATTGTTCCCAATGTCATTGGGAACTTATTGTTGTTCCCACTTCACAGATGAGAAAACAGGGTAAAAAGAGGCCCATGTGTTTTCCCAGGCACCCAGCGCACCAAGCAGGGCTGAGCCAGCCAAACCTGGTGTATCTGACTCAGCCCATGTCCTTCCCACCACACCCACTGCCTCCCAGTTCAAGACCCTCTTCCTCCTTCCTCAGGGGCACAAACTACAGATAATGGAGGTGCCTGTCCTGTCCGATGACTCGGCTCCCGTTGGCGTGCTGGGAGGAGACTACTACAGGTGAGGCCGCCTCAGGAGGCTGCTGGGAACAGCGGAGGCACAGATGCTGGGTGATAAGTGTGCATTCCCCCAAGGGGAGCAGCTCCTCCTTCAGGAAAGCCCCCAGGAAGCAAGGGGCAGAAAAGGCCTTGCTGGCCCAGGTGCTGGGGCCTAGTGGGGTGACTGAGTCCCTGCACGGTGCCAGGAGAGGCCCCTGGCTTTGGGAGCCGTGCCATGGCCTTGCTCCTGAATCCTGTCCTCCCTTTTCTTTCTCCAGGAAGCTCCTACGATACTATAGCAAGGGCCACCCAGCTGAGGCTGTCAAGTGCTATGAGCTGCTGGCCCTCCACCTGTCGGTCATCCCCACGGACCTGCTGGTGCAGCAGGCCAGCGAGCTGGCCCGGCGCCTGTGGGAGGCCTCACGCGTCCCCCTGCTCTAGGCCAGCCCCGACTGCCCTGGTGCATTCTGCCTGTGCACCCTGGTTCTCCAGGCCCAGCCCCGCTTGCAAGCATCCCCACAGCAGCCTCCTCCTGTTCCTAGAGGCCGCCTGAGGCTGGCCCCGAGTTCCCAGGGCAGCCCCAGGGTTTCATGAAGAAACTCCACCTAGACCAGCCTCCACTGGGTTGTGAGCAAACGTCCAGTGCTTCCCTCTGGAGAAGGAGGGAGGCCAGGGGTTCTGTTGATCTCCTTAGAACAGCAGTGGCTGTGACGCTGGAGCTGGGGCAGCCACTCTGTCAAACTGCCTCTTTGTTTATCCCCAGGAGACAGGGAGGAAGTCCCCAGTGCCCACAGGTGTCTAGAGACACCCTCCTTTCTGCTGTCCTCGGAGTGGAGAAAGAGCTTGTCCCTCGGCAGGCCATTTCCCTCCCCGGGTGACAGATGCTCCACTGGCTGGGTTTGAATTTCAGCTCTGCCTCTTCCGCTCTGCAGCTCTGGGCAGCGTTCCTAAACTGTGAACCTGTCTCCCCACGTTTACAGTGACAGCATCTCCCTCTCAGGGTAGTTGTGAGGGCCCCAGACACGCGACAGCTGCTCAATAAATGCTGGTTATGGTTATTGTTATTGTTCAAGCCAACATGCCTGGGCTCCTGAGCCTTCTTGGAGCCGAGAAGCCCTGGCGAGGTTCTAGCCCCTTCGTGCCCTGCTCATTCTCTGCTCCTGCCCCGGCCCCACCCCAGAGATGTGTGTCACTCAGACCAGCGGATCCCAGGCTTTGAAGATTTTAAAAGCTGCCCAGGAGGTACACCCCCTCTCCTCTAACCCAGAAGTCCCCAGCCCAGAATAGACCCAAGGATAACAGACCATCAGAAACTGGGACTGGGCAGCGTCCGCTGCTCTGGGGCCGAGGGGCCGCTGGTGGGGTGGAGAGAAGCGACCTGGCAGAAGTCAGCACCCAGCGCAGCACAGACATGCAGCCGGCAGCCGAGCCTGCTGTGTCTTCAGTCCCGAGCTGAAATTTGTGCAAGAAGACTCTTCTTTCCTATTAGGGGAACAGCTTACAGGGGACAGAGCTGCTGAAGGAACTGGAACCAGACCTCGGGCTAACGTCCTCAGAAGGTGGCAGTGAGGGACGGTCACCTGAGGTGGCCCAGTCTGCATTCCTCTTAAATATCACGACTTTATGGATGGAAATGTAAACCATTGGTTGTGGAAAATCCAGAAGAGCTCAAAAGTAAAAAAAGAAGCCTAGAAGCCCACTGCTGTCCAGGATCCCACATCCCACTTTGTCACCTAATAGTTTCCCCTAAATTTTAACAGCTGCTCCATGTGATGGGTCTAGTTTAACCAATCCCCCTAGTTTTTCAATATTATGACAACACCAGGTGAACAGCCCGAGTTGGGTTTTAGCAGAGTCACACGTGGCGTGACCCCTCCGAGGCGTGTGGAGGGTGTCAGAGTTGAGAGCAGAAGCGTCCTCGGGAGCCCTCTCGCTCAGAAGCACCTTTTCCTTGCGTTCTCCCAGCTCTGAGATGCAGCTCTGAGAGCAGGTTTCTAGAACATTGACAGACGTCGGAGCAGGACACTCACCTCCTAGGGTGCTTTCTTCCTGCCAGGGGACCGGCCTGCTAGCCAACGGGCAGAGAACAAAGGGCTCCTGATTGAAGACAGGCCAGAGGACAGTGGGAAAGCTGGAGATATTCACAGATGGGAGCTTGGAAAGTAGGAAAGGTGCTGAAAGAACAGAAATATCCAGGCCTTCCCAAGAAGAAGGCGAACCCCGAGAACTACGGAGAGTGCAGTGGCCCCCAGCCCTGCAAGCTTCTCAGCAGCCTGGCAAGCACAGGGTGTTTGAGCCTTCAGGAGAGTGACCCGGCCTTGGAGAGTTATCAGCACCGGGATTACTCTCCGCAGGCCTGGTGTTGGCATGACTTCTTCCTGGTTAGTAGGCAACCTCCAGAGTCTCCGCCCCGCGTGGACTCTGCCCGCCCAGTGTAGACTCGGTCCGCGTGTGCTCAGTGTCCTCTTAGTCGTGGCCTGAAGCCAAGTATGGCAGCTGGACCGCAGCTCCTCCTCTCTTCCTGCTTGCTTCCTGCTCCTCCCCCTGTGGGGGGAGCACAAAAAGCTGGTTGCAAGCAAATTCCTGGCCTAGCACTGGGCAGAGATGGCTGCCAGCGGCCGAGGGCTCTGCAGGGCCGTGGGCGCCTCTCCCCGCCCTGCTTGGAGACGAGCTCATTGGGAAGCCAGGGGACACCTGAAGCCTGAGTACGACGCGGTGGTGATAGGAGCAGGTAAAGCAGGCTGCGCCAGAGCTGAAGGAGGGGCAGCCCTGCTCAGGGGCCTGGAGGGCCCTTCCCAGCCCCTCCCCTCCCTCTGCTCTGGGCACCGCTGGCCAGGAGTTGGGGCAAGAGCAGAGGCCGTGGTGGAGAGCCCACCTATCTGCAAGCAGGCAGTGGGCTCCTGGGGCTGGCTATGCCATCTGTGTGGTCTGGAGCAGAGTCTTGTCCTCTCTGGGCTTAGGTCTCATCTAGCATGACCAGGGAGGACTGGGTGAGCTTAGGGGTTTCCAGGTATCTCCTGCGAAATTAGCTAGTTGCCACCATATCCTTAGGAAGCATATGGTACATAAGGGTCAGAAAGAAAGGCCTGGGCCAGCAGACCAGTGAGATCCAGACACCTCAAGTGCCCTGAGTTCTTGTCCCCACACCCTTATCACTAAGGTCACCCATCCCCAAAGGAAACAGGAATCGCAAATTGTAAGGGGCAGTAGAGGAAAAATAGAAATGAGTCACAGAGATCCTGCTGTGGGTTCGCCGAGGGTGACAGTGTCCCACCGCCTTGCACATCGGGTGCCTGTGGGGGATCCGCCACAGTGATCCTCAACACTCCTCTGATCCCCGGGCTGCAGAGTCCTGATCTGCCGGGTGACTGTGTGACGCTGTGGGCCAGGACCAGATTGGCTTCCATTCACGCTCCCAGAGGGCCGGAATTTCAACTTCTAACCTTATTTCCAAATGGGTTCATACAGAGAGACAATGACAGGACTGGAAGATGCTCATCCTCCAGCTCTGATGCTGCATCTGTGTTCTGGCATTTCTTCATTTCTGTGTGAACCAAGAACAGTCACGTGCCGGGAAATGTTTAACAGTCCCCTTTCCAGGGAAAAATGCGTGCATATATACACACAGAAGTTTATTATAAATAAAATAAAATAAATTTAAATATAATTTTATATAATTATATATATTTTATATAATAAATATAAAATAAATATAAAAAGTTTATTATAAATAAAAGACTTGTACCACACAATTTTACAAATAAAAAACAATACTCTTAAATTCCAGGCAGCCAATTGATCCTCACCGAATTTCTGTGATTTTTGCCAAACTCAGTAGCCAACCTATGTTTGCAGTTGACAGATGAGGATAGTTGCAAAAGGAATGTTGATATTTTCATTTACTTGAAAGAGCAGAACAGAAGTGAAACAATGAAGATTTATGTCCACACTTCACTCCTCTGTCAATGATGGGAATGACTGCTCAATCAGATAATATTTTTCCAATACGGGGAAGAATATTTCCTCAACTTTTTGTGCTATCCACAGTGTAACAGCGACAGACACAACATGCTGTTAAATTTAATCTGCCTTATTCACATCTTCTCCATCAACTTTCTTAAGTTGAACAGTCAACAAAATTAATCAAGCCCCAACGTGTACTGTTTGCTGAGTTCCATGGTGTAAATACTCCCACGGTGGCCTTTTTCAAGTTGCCACCGTGATGTCGCTGAATGTGAATTTGGGAGAGAGACGCAGTAGAGCATCCTTGCGTAGTGGGGCCGCTGTACGGATCCTTGGAGGCCAATAACCACAAGAGCATGGGTAACAGTAAGACAGTAAAATAGTTAGGAAGTGAACGTTTTGAGTATTTATTACCTTTGGTTTTATTATTTGTAGAACTGTAAGTTTATATAATTTGATGTTTAAGAATGGCTGTGTTTGACAACTGCCTTATAAACCTCCCTGGCTGGGGGAAGCCAGCTCCAGCGCCCTATGACTGGACTCGGGAAATGGAAGTGCTCCAGGACTTTGAGCCTCAGAGAAGCCCCTCGCCTTTTTCTGCCCTTGGTGACAGCCCACCCCTGCTGTCTTCCAGCAAGGAGGATGGACCCTTGGTCTTATGTCTGCATCCCTGTAGTCATGCCAGTACCTGGGAGCCACCTTGAAGATGACCCTGATTTAGTCATTTGACTCAGTGTGCCTAAGAGTGACCCAGGAGCTTGTTAAAAGGCAGTCCCTGGGCCCCGTGTCTGGTCATCAGGATTCCGAGGGTTGAAAATGACTCGAGGAAGTCAGCACATCTCACCAACACTGAGTGGCCCTGATGTGGGCAGCTCAGCCCACACGTTCTAGAGCCCGAGTTCAGAGCCCCTTCTCTCCAGAGCCCTGGGTGCCTGCTGCCTGGCGATCCCTATAGTCAGGCCGGGTCTCAGCAGAGCCTGCAGCTCATGACCCCTCCAAGGGGACAGGGTGGTCACCAGAAGCTGCAGGAGGGCTCGGCAAGGGCTGGGGGTGGGGATGGTGGAGGGAGGAGGGTCCTGGGCTGTTGGACCCTCAGCTTTCATCATTTGAGGTCTCTGTGCATTTGTGGGCTTACGTGTGATGACTGAACTGGACCCAGTTGCCTGGAAGACTTTATTGGTTTTCCATGATTTATCATCAGCGCTAATTAAAAGACAAATAGCTACCATTTACTGTGGGTCTGCTAAGGGTCAGGTGCTTTACATATAGGATGGGTCATTCTCCCTGCAACACTGCAAGGTCCAGCACCCTCTCTGGTCTACGTATAAAGAAGCTTGAGGCTCAGGGTGGCTGAAATGACTCTCCAAGGGCCACGCCCTGGTAAACAGCAGAAGCCAAGGTGAGCCCGGGGTGGCCAGGCTTTAGTTTGTTGTGTGGATATGAGAACAGGGCTTTTCAAACTGCAGGCTGCAATCTATTCGTGAGTCCCATCCAGCTTTTTTTTTTTTTTTTTTGGCGAGGAAAGGTTGTCCCTGGGCTAACATCTGTGCCAATCTTCCTCTATTTTCTATGGGGGACGCCGCCTCAGTGTGGCTTGGTGAGCGGTGTGTAGGTCCGCACCAGGGATCTGAACCTGTGAATTCTGGGCCACTGAAGTGGAGTGCACAGACTTAACCACAATGCCACCAGCCCAACCCCCTGCATCCAGCATATTTTTTAAGCTTTCTCATGAAAAATTTCAAAAATATGTAAAAATAGAATGTCAAGCAGCATTTTAAAAAATGAAACATAAGTAAGTCACATGCTTATCATGTGAGTTAATATTAGTTTATGAAACTTTTGTTTCTGTGAAACACATTTGTATACGGGGTGTGTGCCAGGTCATTTCTTCCCGTGGATCATGGTCAGAGAGGTTTGAAAAACTCCATCTTAGGATTCCTTGAATGGAAGAGAACTTGGCTCAATGGCCTCTCAAACGCTGGGGGTCTCTGTGTGGAGAATGAGAAAAAAATCAGCTCGGCCGTGAATAAAGCCATCACATGGCTCATTGCTGCCTCCTATTTATGGATGTTTGTCAAATTAATGGTTGAGCATT